TTAGAGTGTTATTTTTATCCCCACACTATCTGTGAGTTTGCTCCAGCATCCAAAATTCTGGATGCATCTCCACATCTGTTGGACTGTGAAACTTTTTAATAAAAGCTGAACTGTCTAGAAAATTTTCCAGATATCAGGATGAATCAAAAAGTTTTTCTAAATAATAAAACAAATGGATTTGTTGAGCACAGTGTGCTTAAAACAAAGTAAGAAATAATAACAGCTCTACACAGATTTTTAATAACAATTTTTTTCTTTGCTTTTGTGGAAAAATCAGGGAAACAGAATTAATTCCTCTTAAATGCTTTGTTCCAAGACTAGAGGGGGGCCTCTTAATAATCATTGCAAGGTTTGCTTAAGCTGTTCCAAAGAAGAACATGTACAAATGTCAAGTTGTGTATCACAGCAGTTATGTCTTGACTTTGGAGAAGTGGACCCATGGTGTCAATGTAAGGTTGCCAAGCAACAAGTTTATTCTTGAGCAGAAATGGCAAAGCAGCTGCCTGTACCCATGCAGCTCAAAACTTTTTTTCAGTGGTTCTAAACATACGTGCCTTTTTAAAAGCGCGCTTTCCCTACTGTAGTTACTTCTCAAAGTTTTTTAATCTTTGCACTTAATTCATGTTTTTCAATATCAAATTCATCTAGTACTCAGTCTCACAAATGAGCAGTAAGCAAAGTTCCTTCAGTGATGAATGATACGCCTTGAACACTGATACACTGCAGTGCTAACATTTTATGTGATAACATTTGTAATTGCTCCTTGTACTTATAGATTTTTCAATAAAACAGTAATTACTGCGTAAACTCCCAGCTGTACCATTACATGCACATGTGCTGTCACTTTGTGGGACAATGATTTATCACACAAACACTGGCTCATTTTTAAATACATTCTTATTGCCTACTTTTGCCTTGGGGACTATATATCACTTGTTTTAAGTATTATGGGCTTATTGAAGTCTTTATGTAGCTTTTGGACTGTTAATATGAGGACAAGCAGCTTTTCCTGTATTTCTTTATTTATGTGCAAATGAGTGTGTATCATACGGTAGCTTTTACTTTATCCCCTCAGGAGTCCAATTTGCAACTGGGTCAGATGATGTTGCAGCTCAACCTGCACGGCCTCGCTGTGCACCAAAGCCACAATCATAAATCAAAGGGCAGAGAGCGTTTGCACTTGGCCCATCACACATCTCCCAAATGTCTGTCATCATTTTATCCTCACCAGCCTTCACTGCTTTTCTCCTTCTCCCTGCTGTTGGAAATTACTTTCACATCCCTGTCTCAGCATCAGCTTGGTCAATATTTTACCCAATTTCAAGTCTTTAAAAATCAGTCTTACCCACTTTACAATGCCATTCCACTTATCTCTGCATCCCTTTGTTCATCCTTTTCCCAGCATGGAGTGGAGAGTACAGCTGGACATTAATCTGCCGCTGATGAGCTCCACTCAAAAGACAGCTCATCCCTGCTTATCAGGCTCTGGGTGCCACTGCAGAGTTTATCTAGAGGAGGAGGATAGGAGGATATGTATCAATAAACACAAGAAGCCCCTTCACTTTGCAAACAAAAACGTGTCAGTGTTTCTGCGCTCATAGGACAATAATACTTTAAATAAATTATGTATTAAAAACGGCTGGTTGTGCTTTGGAATGTCACTGACAGGCCTTTTTCTTTTCTTTTTTTTGGCAGTGTAATAATATCCCTCAAATTAAATGATGTGACATTCGAGCCAAGGCTCTTCTCATCCAATAAAAGCTCCAATAAGATTGGGATATGCTAAGTCTAATCTAATATAAACGTTTTTTATTGACAATAGAGGGCATATTAAGGTGCTGAAAGTGAGAAAAGTCACGATTTAGAGTAGCATATATCAACTCAAGTATTATGGTGGTAGCATAACTTTAAACAATTTGGATGGAGGCAACAAAATGCCAGAAAAGCAAGTGGGCATAACAGAAAAACCTCTGGAAGAACAGGTCACCAACAAATTAGATTAACTTGCAACAGGTGAACAACATAAGCAGGCATAAAAAGAGAAACTTAAAGAAAAGAGTCTCACATGTCAAGAAAAGCAAAGGCTCACTAATCTGCAAAAAAGAACCCATTTAATCGTGTAAAAACTTAAGTGTAATGTTAAACATTATTTCTCTGAATAAACAATCATCCACAATACAAAACTTCAAATAGTTTAAACACTCACCTTTGTGTGGCAGCACTTCATTAAGCACAGACATCATTCTGCAGGTTTGTGTTGCCTCCATCTTCCCTGGAACCATAGAATAATTTAAAATGAACAATGGCATGAAAATTCACCTGTGGTTGACAAATAGAAAAATGAAAACTATGTCAGGAAATGATGGTGCCCACCTTGTTTGATTTCAGCATTCAGTTCAAAAGGCCTGCATCTAGGGTGCCTTTTTGGGGAGGGCATTTTCCATAATAAAACTGTTATTGGATATCATACTGTTGTCTGATTTTTAAATCAATTTATACAGTATCCCCCTTGTTTTTTTAGTTATAACATAGTATATGTTATTATCATATTATGTTATATTTATGCAAAGCAACGTTGCTATGTCAGATCTTGCCTGAGGATGCTTCATGGCTACAAGGGGGATGTAAATCACACAGAAAGACCACCACTGTATCTCCTCCCCAGAAACCAACCGGACTGGGCTTGTATTCATCTCCACGCAGACGCTCGATGATAGATGAAGAAAGGTCTGCTGTCCGTTCGATCTCATCAGATGCATTTTAAAATATCTTGAGCAGGCCGTGTTGATCGACTTCTGCATATCCCACGCTCCAAAAGGTGACAAATGTCAAGAGCTCTCAGTTTATCCTTCCGTCAGCCTTTTCTTCCACTTTCCATCAATCCTTTGCACATCTCTGTTTTTGCTGAACAGCCTCATCTCAGCACTTAACCTCCAATTTGCATAAGTCATTATGGCTGTCAGGACCAAGGAGGCTATAAATTCTGCTAAGTGTTCGTCTGTCGTTGGAAGTTGAAAAAATGCACAACCAATTTTTACATTTCTTTGACAAATGAGACAGAAAGCGCACCCATCGCTGAAACATCATTAATACATTTGATGACCTAAGCAATTTCTCTTTAATTGATGCGGACACGCGGTACCTGACTGTCGTGGACTATCTGTCATCCATTTGTCATTTATATGCAATCTTGCTCATTTATTCAAACGTTATCCCGCCGTTTCTCAGGCTCGCCTTGGTCACTTGAACCCCAGTTGTGAAATACTACTCAAACCCGCACAGGATTTCCCAGAGTGTGTCCCTCTTTCCAGTTTCAGCAGCCATTTGTTCCGCTGGATGGGAGGAAGCGACATCTCTCCTCGTTTTTTCTTTCTTTTTTTCTTAGGGGAAAACAACGATTTTCTTGGCAGATGCTGAAGTTAAAGGCTTTGCGCGCAGGTGGGACGCAGGAGCGCAGAGTGCGCTCACAGGGCTGTCACTGATGCCACTTCAAAGACCTCAGCACACAGTCCTGGGTCACTCACGGCAGGCGGGGAGCAGCTGAGACTGGTGGGAAGTGTCTCTTTATAGTTAGAAAAACACAGCTGAGGAGGAGCTGACAGAACCAGAAGATGACGATTTTTTTTTTTCCTTATCGCAAGAGCGCAGAACTGAGTCGTTTACAAGGACTTTTCGGGTTTGTTGAGTTCTGGGTGTCACACACACATACATCCCCGTATGACTGAAGCCACAAAGGACCACCGTCCCACACCCAGGGACGCCCAGGGAGCAGCAAAACGTTTGGCAGATCCTTCCAAGAGGTCGTTGGCATAAAGTGCCAAATTTCCCAACCTGGCTCTTTCTCTTCACTTCCATAATAACAGTCATTATCTTCGGCACACATCTTTCTGCTTCATTTAAGCCCTCCTTAACGGTGGGGGGGGGGGCATCCATCACAGAGGTGCGGCCATTCCGCGGTGGCGCTGACCTCCAGCCGCTCTGATTTATTCCTGACCATGTCCGGGGACTCTGCCTTTCACTGTCGCTGCGGGACAAAACTGTCGCAGTGAGGCTTTTTTTTTTTAATTATGAAGACTTCATTTAAAACTTCATTAGTCGTGGGTGGTCCCCGGACAGGGGTGACACGAGCAGCCGACAGGCTTTCCGTCTTCACAAAGGTCAACTTCTTGAAAAAAGGGGATGGGGCCATGCTAATAGGGTAGGTAAATAAGGACCCTGAAGCCCAAAGTGTACTTCATGGTTTCTTAACTTTGTCATGAATAAAGATGACAGTTTTGTCACTTTGATTTAACTTTCTCCTCCACCTGCATAAACATTGTTTTTTTTTTTGTTGGTAACTTCACCAACATGAAATTGGAGCGTGGCACTAAATGGGGGTTGTGTATCAATGTGATGATTGGTGATGCCGTTAAGGTAATCCAACATCATTATTTTCATTTTGTCCTCCGCTCTGGTGACGAGTGGAAGCACGAGGACGCCGGGAGATGAGGGCGAGGTGGCAGAGCCAGCTGCGCCTGGACAAACACAAGGACAGCTCTACCTTCCACAACAGCGTATTAAGCCAATTACTCACCATCAGGGAGCGTTATCTGGGAGAGCGGATGCTTTGTTTATGCGGCTCAAAAACCCAGCAAACACTGTGTCAGGCGGCAGAAATTGTAAACATGTTTTTCTATCCCCTCTGTACAAGAGGATGAATAAAAAAATTTAAAAGGAGAGAGGGAGAGAGAGTGTTATTAGAAGATTTGCCTCTAAGAAGCGTCCCTCTGGGGCTCTGCGCTGCACTGGGAAGCCCATCGCAGAAAGCCTTCAATTAGAAGAGTGTGCCTGCATCTTCCAAACGGTCACCTTGGAGGATCAAATTATCTCTAAATCTAAATAAAACAATCACCTCCAATCAATCAGGGTTCATTAGCTCACAAATGGCTCCCGCTGCCTATAGAAACACACCAAGAGCATAACTTTCTGATAACCAGAAACACCACAAACACAGCAGTCTGCCGTGAAAGGTTTTTATTCCATAAGAAAGGCCACGAGAACACATGTGGGGTTTAGCCACAGCCTCAAAGCTTGCGGGGCGGTTTTGGCCCGCTCGCTGCAGGACTGCTGGCTCTGTCAGGGCAGACGGACACGAAGGAGGTCCAGTCAGACAAAATTGCATCGGTCGGGCGGCTGATCGCCTCTCAGAGTAACGGCGCGACTGTGGACGCGGTGGAGGGTGTTGGAAAACATTTAAGGAGATCTGCCGCTTTCATCCGTCTCTGTGGGAGAGCATCCTGTGCATAAGCACAGCCTAATGGACCGCACAGAGCGCGCTCAACTCACTTGAATGCAGATTTTCGCTGCCGTTGTTCAGTTTGAAACATCGGGTGAAATTTCTTAAAGATTAAACAGAAAGCTCTTCGAGTTGGGCCAAAATGAACCCACAAAGCTCTAAATAAACTTAAGGCCTGCCCCCTAAAACCAGCCTTCATTATGGCTATGATAGCAAAAGGTTTCATGAATAAAAACATGTTGAAATAAGATAAAGAGGTTCATTTTTAGAAATGATTGAGATTGCTAAATTATAATTTCCATTAAAATATGTACAAAAACAACAAAAAAAAGACTAAGAATGGCGTTCATCCACACAGAAGTGGTGACCACGTTCTGCAGATGATAGGATTTGTTCAAATTGATCACGTTGAACTATTCAATTAGACATTCATCGCAAATAATTAAAAAACCTGGTACTTCTATAAAATGTTTTAAAAAGAAATATAAAAAAATCCAAACAATTCTTAAAGAAATTGATTGAATTAAAATTTTATTTCCCTAATTTAGAAGCTATTTAGCAGGCAGTGGTGACATGGCACATCTCGAAGACTAACATCACTCAATGAAAAACAAAGTATTTTTTCCCTGAATAAGAATAAGCATATTCCAGTGAGTGTGTCGTTTAAGAAGGACAAATCGATGTGCTCATCATGCTCTCAGTCACTCCATCATGGTTGGCAGAAATAAAAGCCTTTTCCTCAAAAAGGACAAAATCAAGAGGTCCCCTAAACACTAAAAGCCTTTTCGCACTGCTGGGCCAATCTCCAGCACAGCCGCCCTGACCGAGGTCATTTCTGTCCAAACAGCAAAGGCAAAGAGGGTGTAGTGGACAGATATCCGTGGGGCAGCATGGGTCACTCCATTTCAGCCACACTGGGTGGTATAGACTACCCTTTGGGCCTGAGCATCTATAATTTTATGGTTCCACAGGTCAAGGCTGAGTAAGCTGATATCTTTTTTTTTTTTTTTTTAAATCTTATGTGAGACCAGCTGTAAAATGCCCTTATCTCATGCTCTGTCAGGCCCAGATGTCCTGTAAGTAGCGTTTCTCCTCTCGAAGAGCAGCCAGTCTCTTCATGGCCTCCAGTTTGTCCACCTGCAGGTCCGCTTTAATCATCTCTATCAGGGTCTCATTTACATCTTTAGCCATGTTCTTCGCATCCCTGGAGGGGAAAAACAGAGGTGTGTTAGGAAAATTAAATGCAATCAGGCAGTTTTTTTTTTTTTTCAAACAACCTGCATTGTGTATGACCAACCAAAAAAAACAAACAAACCCCCGAAACAACCTAAAAATAATACACCACATGCAATTGAACTCAGCACATTTATGCTATCAAATCCAGAAAAATTTGACTGTCAGTAATGAGAGGTGTCATGGCATTTTTTAGCGAGTTCTTACCAGTATTTGGGGCAAATATTTTGAATTGTAGTGGAATCTCAATTGTTAGTTTTTCCTCTTCCAATAGGAGCAAACACTCAACTGAGAGAATTCTCTGGTATACTGTGGGTTTACCATCTAAATTAGGGGTGTTCAACTCTGCGTCTCAAGGGCCGGTGCTGTCCTTCAGGTTTGAGCAGTTGTTCTGCTTCCAAACAACTGATTGATAAATTAAATGGATCTACTCAAAACTCCCGCACAAGCCTGCAAATGGCACACTGATGTGAATAAGGTGTGTTAAAGAAGGGAAACTTCAAAAACCTGCAGGACAGCGGCCCTCGAGGACTGGAGTGGAATGCCCTCGATCTAAATAATGCACCAAACCTGATTCTTCAGGGAGCCCACATATTGAGGTTAAACATGCAACCCAGTAATGAAGAACTACTTACACTGGCAAAAATAATGATTTAAGTGAGTCTGCTCACTTAAAACGAAATGAACAGCCTCTAATGTTTATCGTATTTTAAATTAAACCAAAAACCAGACTAACACATGGCATAAAAGTTACGAATTGATTTGAATGTTATTAACCAAAATTGGTATTTGATCCCCAAATAAAACATGAAAAACCCAGCAGAGAAACACTTTACTTTACAAAGCAGTAAGATGTTTCCTGTAGCTTGTCACCAGGTTTTCACACATCTCAGCAGGGATTTTATTTCACTCACTGATAGAACTTTCAAGCATATTTTTTAAAGAGTTTTGGATTGCATTCTGTCTTGCTCCATTAAAACCAAACAAACATGGCAATTAGATAGTTCCCATTTGTAAGTGGGCGGACTCCGCTCAACAGGGGATGAAATTATCGTTTCCCCCACTGTATCTTTAAAAGCAAGACGTAGAAGAGGTTTAGCTCTCTCAAATCTCTGGAATCAGACTGGGCTCCAATGAAAAAACTTAATCAGCCCAGATCGCTCAGGTCTTTTATGTTCATGTATTTTTATGCTACTGTTACATATAATGTTCAAGTGCAAATAAACCTACAAAAACGATTTCAAACCCACTGATTGCTGTTGAATGTTAAATCACAACTAGAAAGTCAGGCCTCTGAAATTTGCACTGGCAAAGAAAATTTTACTTAGTGCATCTCTAATAAGATCTTTAAAGTCCACAGTAAGGACGTATTTCATGAAAAATACATATAAGTCAGGCTCTTCCATTTATTTCATTCAAACACTATACTAGCATGCAACTTATCTTTTTATGCCACTGTGTTGACTGTAGCACATGGTCAGTTAGTCTCTCTTTTCAACCTAATTCATCAAAATAGACCCAGTGAGTCATCCATCTTTAATTACAGCGGAAATCTGTATTGATATAAGAGGCAGTTCCATGCTGTTGGGACTTGAGGCGTTCTGCCAAAGGTGGACCATGCATGTAAACAGAGTCTAGAAAAAAGCAGGGACTCTGTCCCATATATAACACGCTGAACAGAAAAAGCAGCCAAAATGTGATGTAACAACACCAGGTGGATGCAGGGACGAATGCAAAGCAGAGCAGAAAAAGACCAAAGACGCAGGGGATGAATCGAGCTCCGCATCAAATCGGAGCTGGTCTTACCCGCACACATAGAAGTGGCCGTTCTGTCTGAGCAGAAGGTCGGTGACTTGTTGGCGGTGGAGCAGCAGATTGTGTTGGACGTATCTGGGTCGTGGCGCTGAGGTGGCTGCCTCCTCTTCCTTCCCCCCGTCTCTGGAGAAACACACCTTGAGGTGGCTTAGAGTGCCGCTGGACACAAAGCTCTCAAGTTCCTCCCTGTGACCGGGGGGAAAAAAAAGGATAATTATATTTGGAAATTAAGAAAGTTATTCTTCTCATATTGGGCAGTCGCTTGTGATTTATGAAAACTTTTTTTTTCCTGCATGTTAAAGTCAGGAATCCTGAGTCTTGATGCCAAAAGAGAAGATAATGTGATTGTGAGTGGGAGGGTGGCTTTGTGAGCACCTTCCTGGCTTCTTGACAGAATAAAAAAAACGACATCTTTGCTATAAGCAAAAAATATATTCAACATGGTGGCATACTTACATACATACTGGCTCTTTGCCCTTTCACTCCCAAAACTCTCTTAAGATATCTAACCACAGACTTATCTGCTTTACAAGTGTCCCCCCTTGCCATATTTCCTGTGGATAAAACAAAATCCATAGAGCTAAATAAAACAGAAGAGTGGTGTGCAAAAGGTCTGATCAAACCTGTGCCAGACATACAATTTATCTTGCTTAACAAAAGATGTGCAAAAATGATACAGATTTCATAAGCAAGGCTGAGTCACTGTTAGAAGCAGCTTTTAATAATCAATCCTCCCAGCCTTGCAGTTAGGCGTAACCTTGCTCCCTGTCAGTGTTCTGCTTGCCAACTACTCCTTCTTTTGCTTTTTTTTCCTTTTACAGAGCCTAAGGTGCTGTAGGAGGGAAAGGAGGGAAGAAGGAGAGAGGTTCACTGAGGCTCAGAGCAAAATGTTTGAAGTTAAGCAGTTGGAACGTAATGGCACACACAGACACAGTCAAACGCAGCCGACCCAAATCACAGGTGAGGGTCTTCCACTTTGGTGGTGGTGGTGGGTGGGAGCTATGCTTTACTGTGACCTCCTGACTAAATTAGTTTTTTTCCATTCTTCTTCTTCTACCACAGAGGCTACTGGGTGAACACTAAAGCGAGTCACAAGCCTCGTCGTCTTTGTTCTGTTGGAAAAGTCCAGATTTACTGCCCCCGGTGCAATGTTTACAATCTCACATTTGATTGGAGACAACCATTAAAAAGAAATCTCATCTTTTTTTTTTACCAAAGTGTGTGATGATTACAAAGTCTGTTTGAACGCAAGACAAAACCAGAACAACGGCAAGGGAAATGGCGTGGTGGTGTTTGTTTGGCGTCGGATACTGATAACGAGAGCAGAGACTGGCGGATGACATGGGACAGTTGATTTCTTAGATACGCACACCGCATAGATTTGTCAGCGCTATACCATAACTATGTCCTAGCTTGCTAGCACACATTAAAGCCTGTAGCAGTATTGTGCCCCCCTAACACCAGTCTGCCAGTCCTTCTGGTTAACTTTACCCCACAGCAGGAAATCCCATGCTCTTAAGAGGCTGAAAGAGAAGGAGGAGTAACGGATAAGTGCAGCAGAGGGAAGAGGGGAGGGAAAATTTGATATGACAAGCAGGCATCAATCTCTCAAAGGGGCGTTAAGTGCTGCGGCTGAATGCGGCACATCACAGGCCTTCTTAGGTTGTTTTTGCATTCCAAAAACAATCTGTCGGTCGTATCCTGTGTTGATGGTTTTTCTATTGTTGCCCTGCTTTAGGACTCCAGCTGAACATGGTCTTTGAAGGCTCCAGATGCTGAAATGTGTGACCAAGTGAGCCAAGCAAGTTTCTGCAGTCCAAGGCAACATCAGATGTCAAATTGCACTTACTTTGAGAGACGTCCCACAGAGATGAATGCAGGCAGCTAGTTCATCTGCTGGCATGTTGCTCTCATTCTGCTCACCTATTTAAATTGAGTACAACTCTTCGCGGGTGGCTCATAAAACACAGACTAATCACTTTGGTCAACACTGTGGGGGTATTCATCAGAGAGGACCACACTGTGAACAAACACTGCGTACTACACCTGGCTGTGAGTTAGTATTAAAGTATGGGATGGAAGAAACAGAGGGGAACAAACAACATCCTCTGTGATCTATTCCAGTTTGATTAAGCATGCTAATCCATTCACACTATTTAATCCTGGAAAAAAGACTTGACCGGTCTGCCGGTGTTGAGCACATGCTTACTGCTGATATCCTGAGATTAGCTACATCAATTAGTATGTAGCTAAGAAAAAGCAGAGCCAAAACAAATTCATCAGGGTTCCTGCACAGCTGGCTTCGGGTTGTAGTAACAGAGGGAGTAGAGGTCCAGTACTTTGTACAATTTAGCTGGATCAAACTTCCTCTTTGTATCGATTCATTTTAAAAAAGGCCCTTGAATGCTTCACAGGTGGATGGATATTTGATATAAGATTGCAGCTGGTCCATTCTGTGTTTTCCCATACAGGATTGTGCAAACGTCTCGGGCCATTTCTCACATCTTTACATATTAATGAGAAAAGTGGGGGTTGGTTTTTTGTATGGTTCCATAAAACCTGCACTCATTGATTTAGAGTCCAGTTCTTGCATTAGTTGGCATACCCCATGTTTCCCCTCTAAAGAAAGCCGCCCTACCATGGAAACCATTTTTGATGAGGTTTCTTCAGCGAACAGTAAATGGATCAACTGAAAAGTCAGATACATCTTTTAAGTCCTGTGTCAGGTCAGTATTCATCTGCTGTGTTTTTGGAAAGTCCTGACATCTTTATTGTGTCCTCCAGTTGTTCCCATCACCTACAGATAAAATGTAAAATTGGTTATTTGCGTGTCGGTTGTTTGAAGCCAACACTTGAATGTGGTGCATTTTATCATTTGGTGCATTTGAATGATTCATCGGTCAGCTCGAGTGTCTTAAACATTAATATCAAAACATAAAGAATCAAGGGGTGGCTCTTGAGTTTTGGACAACACTGTATGTTTGCATATTCGGGCATGCAGCCCCAAGAAAGTGTGTTCTCTTTCAGATCCATGTGAGAATGATGGCGTATGTGAGAGTTGGAAAATGTCCTAAAAGCTCAAAAGTTCTGACTCAGTTCAAGCTGATCTCTAAAGTCAGCCTTGTTTCCCGATAAAATCAAAAACTATGTTTATTCTTTTGCTTTTGGTGCTATCTGAGGACAACGTGTCAAAGAATCACACAAAGGAGTCACTTGTTTTATGTGGCTAAATCACCATGGCAACTTGGTATGAACTCAAAATTGGCTCAGAATTAATTTATGTTTGGGGATTGGAATACATTTTTAAAAAGCGCCTTCATCTGACCAATTTTCCTGATGATACCCAGAAAATCAACTATTTTTGGTCATAGAGAGGTATTCAAAGTTTATGTCCTACCACAACCAAATCCTATATCATACGTGACATGATCAATAACTGACAGGGAACCAATACTTCAACCATCATCCTAAAAGTCAGCCAGGTTGGCGTTTTAACCACTAAGATGTTACCATAAAATGGTTAGGCTGCTCAGATGACTTACACCATAAAATACTGAATCCTCTGTGGATTTTGAGCTTAATTAGCCAGAACTTGTTTAATTAACTGAACGAACACCTTAAATAATAAAACCTGATGAGCCTGTCAAAATATATAGGAAAAAAAGGTAGGTTTTCTGTGCTGTTACCATGAAAAATACGTGTTCAGCCAGCAATTCAGAATAGGAAAAATGTATTTTCATATCTGGTCATTATTTGTTAAAAGTCAATTACCTCTGTAAAAGCTTTTCTTACTTTCTGCTTTTCAGACTGACAAATCTGGACATTGTATCACTTATTTATCTTCTTGAGAGGAAAAAATGGATTGGAAGCCGAACATGACAATATGTCATGTTTATTTTTCTGTGCTATGATTTCATGACTGGAAGCTCACTCACGCAAAGCTTGTTTTTTTGTTTTTCATAAGTCAGCATAAAGAATGTGGCCTTGGCTTGTATGTTATCTTAATTCTCTATATAACAATTTACCATTCAGCTGCTAAATGCTGAATAAACAATTTCCCCAAAGCTCAAGAACAGGGATGAAGAAAATCTACCTCATGAATCCGGGCTGAGATGTTTTTCAACAAGTAAGTCGCGGATTTTACGGGAAATTTACAGGAAAAATGTGCAGAAAGAATGTGAAGAGGCTGGGAGTGAATGAAGGTTAGGCAGGTACAGAACAGCATGTGGGAATGACCACCGGCTTACCGGAACAGGTAGTCTCTGTCTCTGTGGCGACAACCGTAGAACAGCCAGGTCTCGCCAAACGAGGATTCGGGGTTGTTCTTCCTCTCCTCCAGTCTGAAAGTCAAATAACGAATGTTAGCAGTGAATCAATAAAAGACAGACATCCAGGCCAGATGGAGGAGAGGGAGCACAGCAGTGTGCAGTGGCAGCACACTGAGCACCGCTCGTCGCTCCGGCACAGAAACGTGCATATAGGAGTGAGGACATTATATGTATTATTTAATTCCACTCAAATAGGATGGCTCCGTCACAATAACAGCTGCAGAAAATGAAAGCAAGCCTCAGCCAGTGCGTGAATGTGTTAGTCATCCAGGCTGCATGTCAAACTGTTGCTCAAACAAACAAACAAAAAAAAACAACCCCCAAAACGCAGGTCCTCTTGTGTCTTTGGACGTTGGCAAACCTCCCAGAACCCCTTGTAGGCTACACAAAGTGGCTCGGAGGATGTGGTTATCTGTGCTCCACACCTGCGGTGAGGGTGACAGCTCTCCTTATGATAACAACGGCTGACCCTCACCCTTTGATGGTGCCATCAGTCAGCTGATGGTCAAAAGGACCAGGCATCACCTGTTAGCCCTGCTATGGAGGCCGGGTGGATGTTAAAGACGCCGTCCATAGAATAGGAGCTCAGCTCTCTGTGCAAACTACTTAACTGTGTTTATAAAGTACATCTCACAAACCCCATACTGAGCCATTAACCAAGTGAATGAATCTAACTGCGTTTCCCAGCTATGGAAAAATAAAAATGGAAAATAATTCTGAAATATGAAGTCTACGTCTGTTTAATAAAAAGGCAATAATATATCAGTATGTTATATATTAAAATGGGAGGAAAGCAAGAAAGATAAGACAAAAACAAGTCAGGATCATCATCATATACAAGTTAATCATTTTGTTTTTACAAGTTGATAAAACTTTCAAGTGACTCATAGATAGCTCTGCTTCTGAAGACGTAACGTTGGCAGGCGTCAAGCAAATCTTCCCATTAATTGCCAATCGGAGCATCTTACATCTGAGTGCTTAATGTCCTTCTGTGTTTTACATCAGCTGAACATCTTCGGATGTCCTTGTGCTCGAGACATATGCCCCAATCTCCAGGCATTTTTTCCCCCAAAGGATTAAAGGCTTTATTGCCATTTTTAAAATAATGAACAGATTAGTCCATTGTCAGATACAGCTCTACATTAAATTGCCCGAGGGAGAAACCAAACAAATACAAAAGTGTGATTGTGAATACTTAAACAAAGCTTTGCTGTCATTAATTAAATGCAACGTTGACTGTTTAATACAAATTCTTTTGTTTGAACTTTGTTTGTGTAAGAGGCTCTGTAACAGAGCTGTCTGGTGGACTTGATCTGAACGCTCAGATCTCAGCCATTAGCATCCTGGATGAGATTCTTCTGATCTACAAACAGCCTCAAGTAAACTCACTTTAGTGGGCTCGTTTCTCTCCTCATGCCGCCTGCCCTAAAGGGATCAATACCTATATGAAAAACTTGGGTTCCATTCTGAGCAGACCACACTGGCGCCTTTCCCTGAATACAAATCACATCACATCCCCACGATATAACAGCCTGCAATCCAATCCCATGGGGAGGGGAAGGCAGCATTCACAGAGCACTCCATTTGGGGTCTAAATCACAAGCAGTTGCCTTTCAGCACTATTCAGATGATCAGCAGGAGGGAGAGAACTGCAAAGGAAACTGAGGTTAAGACTTGGTAAACATTACAATTGTCTCATATGTTTATCTCTGCTGCTTCATGAGCCGAGTGGCTCTGAACATTTAAAAATCCTGCAAGAACAATACAGGTGGAAACAAAATCCTGGATACAACAGCTTCAGGCTTTATCCCACATATTATATTTCAGAAGCACATCTATAAACAGACTCACAACAGAGGAAGACTAATTAATGTCAACTAAACCATTTTCCACGCAAACTTTACAGAAACTGTCATAAGGAATGTGTCAAGCATGCCTTAGTTCTACCCTGAATCGATTTTGGTTTTCTCTCAAAGCGAGAGGACTTGTTGGAGCTGCTAGAAAAGATTAAGGCGCACAGCTCAGTTAAAATACAATATTTGTTTAACTCTCAATGATCCTTGCTGAGCAGAAAGACAGAAAAATCGCATTTTCCGTAAGACTCCAAACAACGGCAATCAATACCAGACAACTGGAGGGTCGTGTTGTAATCCTCTGCTTCCACCAAGTGAGAGTATGACCTTTAGAAACTCTTCTTCCACTTGTTAGCGGAGCTCTAAACTCGTGCAAACTACTTTTGAAAACTGCCATCGATTAACAGGGGGGGCAGAAAGGGGAAAGATGGGCGGATAGAAGCGTTCGCATGTTGTTTTGTTGCCAACCATCCTTTCAAGGGGCCTCGGGGCGTCCCGTTGACAAACCGATGATTGTTATCTGTTATCAGACGGCAGCGTCATCTGCCAAGGCTTTGTTTGGAATCTCAAGTTAGATTCTGCACAATGCCGCACACCATGACAGGTTCATACAATCCTCCAGCACAATACCCAGCTGGCAAGGGAGAGGATGAGAAACACGAGCGCGAGCGGAGGGGGGCTGAGCCGGAGAATCGATTCACACGAGTTTATACTGTAACAGCCAGCAGCCTCTTGAAAACAAAAAATAAAAAAGACATTTTGAAAATAATTGCTAGTATAAAAAGGAAGTAATTGATGAGTAGCTCTGCGTTGCATTAAGAATTAAAGCCTTCTAAAAAAAAAAAAAAACATGAACTGATGTCAAGTTTTTTTTAACTGCAATTTGAACGAGAAAGAGTTTGCATGCATTCTGTTTGAATGCATCTACTAATGGCACGACCAGGTCAGGGCTTAAACCAGTGACATCTCCGGAGCACCTCTTTCCAACTGGCTTAAAAGGCCACCTTTTCCCAGATGGCCACCCCTCACTGGGCTGGTTTCTGTTTTGGACAGCCACCGTGGCCACCCCTACAGCTTGTGCCGCCTCGCCGCTCAGAACCATCCCACGCTGACGCCACCCACCACAGCACGGCACACATCCAAGGGATTTAGCGACAATTGGATTTGACTGGGGCGCAACCTCATTTATACAAAGCCGCCCAAGAGTTAGACAACGTCAGTCTGTGTAAAACAAAAAAAGGGCTTACTCTGCTCTCTGACAGCCATGTGAGCGCGGTTAAAAAGCGCAGACATCAGCCCAGACGGAGAGGCATCAGTCACATTAAACCCCTCTGACAGGTCAACCTCACGCAATCCTGATTCAAGCTCAGAAAATAAAGCTAAATGTCACGTCGTCTTGTAACCGACGGTGCCAGAGATTTACGATGGCGGTTAAACTAACTGGAGAGAACTACCACCTCCTTACTTACAGCCGATGTGCCCCAACCACCTCATAAGCAATTACAAGCAATGATTTGCTCCTATAACATGTCCTTTGCCGCAGGACTTTTTACTTCCAAATCAATAGTAATCCCACGTGCTGCTGTGAATCCTGGCTCTTTATTACAAAAATCATAAACAAGTGCATCTGAGAATGTCTGATTTACCCCTGGTGAGATGAGGAAATGATCCCCCACGTAGTCGCAGCTCTCAGTGCTTCAGTCGCTGTTCTTGGTGCCATGTACAAGCTGTGGACTTTTAGTTTTCTCTGCAGACTGCTCGGAAATACGTGGGACGATGGGCACTTAACGTCATTTCAAAATTGTGCATATTCATTAAGGGGTGCACAGACTTGGCATTAAATATCTCTGTCACCACTCAGCTCATGACCTGATGCTTGACATGAGCGTTTCTTTGGTCCACGGCAGCTGCTTGGTTTGAAACACACAGCGCGGGCGCAGGCCTGGGAAACACATCCAGAGACATCTTCAAATGAGGGATCTCAAAAGACACCAAAAGTAAATCCGCATGTACTCATAAAAGTCCTGCTGCTGTTAAAAGATGAGAAAATTCCCACGCATCATTTCGAGTATGATTCATGCGTTATCTCTCATTTTGTGATATTTCAGATGTAAAAGGTATACACCTCACCTTTATATATAGATGAAGTCAATGGATTTTGGCTGACTCACAATTACAAGAGATATAGATTTAAAAAATAAAAAATGTAAAAGAGAAAGTCAGGATTAAAGAATCAAGATAATAAAGTAAAATTAAAAACTCTAACCAGGTACACGGATATGAAATTAGCTTAATAAAACTTTGAATTTAAAACACTTGACACTTCACCCAGTGTTCTATTACTATTTCAGGAAACCTGAGCCAAACTAAAGAAGGGTACTCCCTTGCTGTCTTCTGAGAAATAAACATGAAAGAGTGGCAACTGAGAGCTGCTGATCGAATGTTCCAGCAGTTTGCTGGTGTGTTGTAATCAGCAAAGTGTGCGGAATGTTAAAAGGGAAAGAAAGCGAAGTGATCTTAGAAAGAGATATATTACTGCCCATCAACGTGGGAGCGATTAGCTTGCCGTACAGAGAGAAATATTATTCAAAAATGGAGAACATTCAAGACAGTTGTGAGTTTTCCCACGAGCCGTCATCCTGCTACTTCACCCCAAGGTCAGATTGTGCAGTGCTGAGAAAAAGAAGAAAAAAAAACTCAGCTATATCTCAGACTCAGACTCTAGGTAGGCTTCTTTGCTCTACAAAGAATATTGCCGCACAGCTTAGATGTGTAAAGTTACACACAATGTTACACCACTCACAATAAACTCTTCATACCAGCTAATGATTCGGGTCAAAGACGGTGGGCATCTCTTTTAAATTTCAGATGGAGCTTATTGGTAGGAGAAATCATTTGAATACCTCCTATCCTATCATTGTAACAGGATAGAGACTGGTGTGGCTCATCCATGCGACATGTGCTCACACAAATCTAACAGGTTTTGCAGAATCAGCTGTGGTGAGTGGAGGGTTTTTCCAATATCAGCTTGCCCCAGCAAGCCTTACCAGCGAAGCAGTTTTATGGTTTGCCCCAGAGCTGCCTTTCAGTCTCAGCTTGAAAGGCATCTGTGAAAATCTCCACTGTATAGCGGCTACAGCTTGGCCGAAACATGCAACAGGACAAAGATGCCTTGCTCAACAGACAATCCACAACAGAATGGCTGTTCCTGGAAAGGAAAATAATCGAGGTTTTACAAATATCATCAAACTAAATCTCGACCTGACTGGCAGAATGCGGTGAGACCAACAGAGAGCTGTGTATCAAGAAATGCCCACTCCAATTCTGGAGCAAAAGTGTGAAAAAACAGAGAGCTAAGTTTAACCTGCATGTTAAATAACTCATGCTCCAGAATCAAGAGAAGATGATACAAAGAGGGAAAAATGGTTTTGGTTTGTAGCTTAAAAAGAACTTCTTGAGTCTGTGATATAACTAAGCAAAAATTTCAAGGGTTTCTGCTTCAAAGACAGGGAAAATGTCTAGATTTCGTAGAGCATGGACTGGTGAACTGAACAAAAGGCCTTTTAAAAGACAAAGAAAAAAAAGATTCCATTTCAAGAAGCAAACATCTCTCCACCTTCAAGGTGTGGGTGGATCAGTCATACTTTGGGCTTGTATTGCAGCTGGTGGCAGAAGGAACATTTCATGAGACGAGGGAAGACTGGATATAATCAAATAGCAGCAAACTTTGGAAACAGGTGTCACGCCATCTGTGAGAAAGCCGAGGACGAGAAAAGGATAATGGTCTGAAACGCACGTAAAATGTAGAATTGACGACCTCTGAGGTGCACTCTGACGGTTTTATTGTGGCCCTCAGACTTCCAAGTATCAAGCACCATAGAAAATCAGTGGCCTTAAAAAAAAAAAGCATGGAAAATGCAAACATTCCTTAAAATGTTTCAAACAGATACTTTGTGTCCTTCTTTCCTGTTAGGTTGAAACTGGACATGGCCTCATTAAATTATTATCTTTAACTTTTAGTCTTTTGCAAATCTCCTACTTATTTGCTTTTTATATGCTGACAGGTCAATTAAACTGGTCAGTGCGGTGGACAATGCATTTTACAATCAAAAACCAATAGAGAGAAAAATGAAAAGGCCATACCTTTGCTGGAGGAAGCCAATGAAAGGAGCAACTCCAGTGCCAGGTCCAACCATGATGAAGGGCGCCGACAGGTCAGAGGGAGGCCGAAAGGAGCAGTTTGGTCTCAAACTCATGTAAATCTAAGGCCAGGGAAAATTACAAATCACTTTAAAGAATGGGGATAATTAAAACAATACTGAGACGCCACTGTGGGTCTTGAATTCTGTTAATTGATCTACTTAATATTCAAAGACATAACTAATGAGAAAACTTGTGAGCCTTAACTGGAATCCACTGAGTCTGGAGTAAGCAAGATTTACTTTCTGCAAGCTTATTTTTTAATTAACAAAACCCAACTGGCCCAGAGCTCATTCTTCTTTCAGTGTCCTCCACATTCCAGAGTTTCCAGAGCAGCACAAAAACGTGCAGTGGGTTGCTTTTAGTCTCTACCGTCAGATAGAGCAACAATTTGATGCGCTCCTTCAAGAACCTCATAAATTCTTTAATTTAGCAAGAAAAGTAGGCTGCCCCGTTATCTTTCAGCTCAAAACAAAGACAAAGTGACGTACAGGAGAGGAAATGTGCTGAACTGCAACAGAGTCAGAAGAGATACGGCTAATTCTTCTGGCCCTGTGAGCAATGGCCTGCACTTGCACCCCCAAATATGAGCACTTAGAAAATGATTCAGCGGCAGCAATGGCCACAGATGTGCACAATCTACTTGCAGTTTTCTTTCCTTAAGTCTATTCATTACCTTTGGCAGAGCCGGGCTGCTGGTAGATTCAGCCTTCACAGGGAACACTGGGCCAGGATTGATGAGGTCAAACAGCCAGCCCGTGCACAAGCCTCGGCTCCCCGCGGGCCTCCCGGAGCACGCTGGGAGCTCAAGCAGGTTGAAGACAAAATGCAGCTTTCCCGAATGCCTCAGACGGGAGCTTCAGATATGGACACACAGAATGTATGAGACAGAAAAAGGGGGAGAGCGTGTGAAAGACACGTATAGTGACACTGAGGGAGATATTCAGAGCATTGGAAAACAGAAAAAAAAATGTAAAAAGAGTGCAGGAAACAATCCTGATCCTGGACAGAGGAATCTTCTAAAAAGGTCTAAAAAAATAGATATTTTTTCAAATCATGATTTCTTGAATAAAATCATCTTTATACTACTGGTAAATATAAAAGTTGAAATGACATTCAAACTGCCCTGAGACGGAGAGTCAGAGAGAGTTCAGAGCTCACACTGTGTGCTCCTATGCACATCGCTGTGCTGTTGGTGTGAATGGGAGAAGGATTACAACATATAACCTTAATAGGTTATGGTGCAGAGCTTTATGCTTGTTTAGAATTTGAATTGTAAAAAAAACTCACAATCAGTTAGTTTCAATTTGACATATTTGACATATGCTCCTGTGTGAGCCCCTGAGAGGGCAGATGGTTCAGAAAAAAAGAGACAGATGGGTAAAAGTGCAGCTCAAGAATTTAGGATGGAAGATTCCTCTGCATACTATTGCAAATTATTTGGAATTGATCTTCTATAATCCATTCAATCAATGAAAGATTCTGTTTTTCTGGGAAATATGGAACAAAAAACTAATTTTGAATGAACAGTCATGAAAATTTCAATATCCAAATCTGGGGGATTTATTGAGCTTAAATGCTATTTTTTGTATGGAATTAAATTAGTAGTTTCTGCACATTTTACATATAGATTGTAATGCAAAGAAAAAGCTTTAGAAAAGTTTTATTTAATGTTCACAACAGAGTTTTGAGCAAAGTTTTCATCATATGGTGATGCAACAGATCACAAATGTGATATCCACAGCATAATAGGGTGAGAGAGAAAAAATACACTGTTTGATCCAGACGTGCCACTTTCTATGAGCTCATTAAGATGGAGATCAAGCGGAAAACTGCCCTTGGTCTAACAACTAAAATCTGATCAGAATGTGGATGTTTTGTATTCCAGGCTAAAGAAGTGTGCAACCATCAGGTTTCTTTATCTGCTTGGCATATTGCAGTCGGTAACAGTACAGGGAAGAGCTATTGTTGTTGAAACATGTATACAGCTCTTAAGATTCCATCTTTTCTAGTAAAACTGTGCTCATTTCAGCAATGCAACACCAAACCATACAGTGGTCTGCAAAAGTTTGGGCAACCTTGTTAATTTCAATGATTTTCCTTCATAAATCATTGGTTCTTAGGATAAAAAAAATCAGTTAAATATATAAAATAGGAGACAAACACAGTGATATTTGAGAAGTGAAACAAAGTTTATACCATTTACAGGAATTGTGCAATAATTGTTTTAACAAAATTAGGCATGTGCATAAATTTGGGCACTGTTGTCATTTTACTGATTTCAAAATCTTTAGAACCAATTTTTGGAACTCAAAATTGGTTTGGGAGGCTCAGTGACCCTTGACCTACATACACAAGGCGAACACAATTATGAGAGAGTATTTAAGGGGGGGCAAATGTAAGTTTCCCTTCTCTGTGAATCTTCTCTGAAGAGTAGCGACATGGGAGTCTCAAAAGAACTGTCACATGACCTGAAAACAAAGATTGTTCACCATCATGAATTAGGGGAAGGATACCGAAAGCTGTCTAAGGGATATCAGTTGTCTGTTTCCACAGTTAGGAACATAGTCAGGAAATGGAAGACCACAGGCACAGTTCAAGTTAAGGCTCCAAGTGGCAGACCAAGGAAAATCACGGATAAACAGAAGCGAAGAATGGTTAGAACAGTCAAAGTCAACCCACAGGCCAGCACCAAAGACATACAACATGATCCTGCTGCAGATGGAGTCATTGTGCATCGTACAACTATTGGGCGCACTTTACACAAGGAGATGCTGTACGCAAGAGTGATGGGGAGGAAGCCTTTTCTCCGCCCACATCACAACCAAAGCCGCTTGAGGTATGCTAAAGCACTTTTGGACAAGTTGGAATAAGGTGCTGTGGACTGATGAAACTAAAATTGAATTATTTGGACATAACAAGGGGCGTCATGCATGGAGGAAAAACAACACAGCATTCCTAGAAAAACACCTACTGCCTTCAGTAACATTTGGTGGTGGTTCCATCCTGCTGTGGGCCTGTGTGGCCAGTGCACGGACTGGGAATCTTGATAAAGTTGAGGGACGCATGGATTCCACCAAATATCAGCAGATTCTGGAGACCAATGTCCAGGAATCAGTGACAAGGCTGAAGCTGCGCCGGGGCTGGATCTTTCAACAGGACAGTGACCCTAAACACTGCTCAAAATCTACTAAGGCATTCATGCAGAGGAACAAGTACAACGTTCTGGAATGGCCATCTCAGTCCCCAGACCTGAATATTATTGAAAATCTGTGGTTGACTTAAAGAGAGCTGTCCATGCTTGGAAACCATCAAACCTGAATGAATTAGAGGTGTTTTGTAAAGAAGAATGGTCCAAAATACTTCCAACCAGAATCCAGACTCTCATAGGAAGCCATAGGAAGCGTTTAGAAGCTGTTATTTCTGCAAAAGGGGGATCTACTAAATATTGAGTTATTTTTTTTATTGTGGTGCCCAAATTTATGCACATGCCTAATTTTGTTTAAACAATTATTGCACACTTCCTGTAAATGGTATAAACTTCGTTTCACTTCTCAAATATCACTGTGTTTGTCTCCTATATTATATATTTAACTGATTTTTTTTATCCTTAGAACCACTGATTTATGAAGGAAAATCATGGAAATTAACAAGGTTGCCCAAACTTTTGCAGACCACTGTATATCGCACAAACTGAGCAGCCAGCAGTCACACCTGACATCTTCTGACAACAGTTACTTTATTGTTTGGGCAAAACAAGCTAGAAGGGGGACTCTTTGGAACAGTTTTGCATTTTAAAAAGAAATTCAGTGATTTTTTTAAATCATTGTTTGTGGTTTATTAGTCTTGTCAAATGTTTGTTCGTCCTCAGGGATAACGCATTTAAGTCAACACTTCATTAAACAAAAAAGATAAAAAAATGTATGGATACTGTAAATCTGCCTACACTATAATAATATGTCATCTAAATTGATTGAGCTACATTGTAATCTTTCCACATAAACCCTGGGACCAACAGATGTGCTCCTGAAGGATAGGTTTCTGTTTGTCTTGCTTAAATAAAAACGTCTTTCCCTCCTCTCCGTTCCCATCTTCACTGCTGGCTAAAGCACTCTCATGCACTCTCATCCTTCACTTTCCAATTCCTGTGGGCCACTGGAGACCTCTATTGACCACAACATCAATAATGCAGGTCTCTAATGTCTCTGCACCATCTGATAAACTGCAGCCACCCTCACTCCTGTCCGTTCACTACGTCTATACGCACACACACACACCCACACACCAACACACACACACAAGAAGCTAAGTAAGGGACTAATGAGAGCAGCTGAGAAGCTCTGACATTGCTTTAGATGCTGCTGTTCCACATTAGCTTTAAAACAAACCTAATGGGCACTAGCTTTAAAGGAAGAGCAAATCAATGTCTGGCTAAGTGAGGGTAAAAGAAGCAACACTTGGTCTATAACTCGCTAAAGGCTATACAATATTTACAGCCCATTCATTTACATAGTTTCCCTCCATTATTGCGCTTGTTGGGAAATTACATCAACAACCACTCAACTGTACCATTTTCCTTGCAACACCTGGGTAACTAATGTACAGACAAAAAGACAAAGAGAATCTTTGCTTTCTAACATAAATTCAATTTATCCTATTTTTAAGACTTTCTTTTAAAGCCCCCCAAAAAATCTTAATCCATATGCAAATGCCAGACTTTATAAACCTCAAAGGGCTTTCTTTAGATGCCATCTAATCCTTCTCTCCACCTCTCCTAAATGTCAGTGAATTGAGAGCTCAATCCATCCCAGTGATGGAGCTGGCAAAATAGCAGATCTCCTGTTTGGATGCCACCGCACTTCCTAGCTGCCAAGAGCAATATCAATATATATTTCATCATGCAAACTCAAAGTTTACAATCTAATATCTCTGAATAAACAAACCTGAGGATTTGGCAATCTATTGTGATGAATGCGGTGCAATGAAACATTCACACCAAATGTCCACACTGAGATTACAGGGGTTAAAAGGGGAAAAACGGCTCAATTTGCCGACATAAAATATCGCCATTGTTGCAAAAATCTTTTATCTTTGCTTATAGGGAGGTTTGAAAATACCAATGCAGGTTAGAGGACTTAACCTAACAAAAACGGACATATATGTACGGCTAGGTGTTATTTCAGGGTGAACGGGCATATCGAAGCATACAAAGAGCACGAAATGAACCATCACTCCAGCTTTTCTGTCACCTTACCTTGCTGCTGAGTAAGGTCTGGGCTGCAGTCTCGGCAAATGCTCTGAAAGGCAAGCACAAATGTCAATCATCTCGTTGTCTTGCTAAGATCTTGTTACACCCATGACACAGAGGAGGAGGGAAAAAAATATGTGAAAGTCATCTCATCCCACCGAGACGTCCTACCTACCAATCTATCCTCAGTAACCCCCACCCAGGTCACAGTCTTGTTTCTGGGACACACTTCTATATTTATGAAATTACAAACTCAGGGTTATGGAATCCCTGGTGTCCAGATGTGGAAGCAATAGGAAACAGATTGCTTATGCAGACCTTATTTCAATGCCAGCCATGAAGGTGCCCTCTTTTGGTAAAAATGTCGAATGCGTGAGATGGTGTCAGAGAAAATCGGAATAATGTGAGATAACTTCTCACCCGTTAGCAACAGGATGTGCCATTCTCTTCTCCGCAGTAACCTGCACTGCTTATTAGATGTGGGTGAAGGGAGTGATTGAGAGGCGTGTTACGTGTTTACTGTGCACTCTCACATATTTTCTTTGTGTCTCTGTGATCGATGGAGCCAGAGCAGGTAAAGCAGCACCATATGCAGCAGCTGTGGCGGTACAATAACACATTTTTCTGCTAAATTGCTCACAAAGACAAGCAGCTGGAATAAATCTGCTCCCTCCATTCAGTCTGGACTCGTCTGACATCTGAACAGATCAGGGCGTTGGAGGCAAATTCACAATTTGACGTTCATTTCATCTCTTTGACTGGAGACTTTTTTTCTTCCTTTCCTTTAAAAACAGAAAAAACGAGGAGCAGGAAATACTTTCAAGTATGTTTGAAGATGATGGAGCGGCAGAGTTCACCTGAAATCAATCAAAAACCCCTTTAATACTAAGAAAGATATGAACAGAAAAAACAACAACATGAAGGTCAAGACAGAAGTTTTAGAGTAAAAGAGATCAAGGGGCTAATGTCGCTGACAGGTATGGATCAGACAATAGAAACTTTCAACCAACTGATTGTGTATATTGATAGCAACCACGGAGGAGAAAAGGAAAACCATCTGACAAAAAAATCAAAAGAATAAATTTCATATCATTCGAATGTGATTTTCAGCAGAGTATAGAAATAAACTCCGACCTCTGTGATTTCCACCTGGAAATGGTCTTCAAATATTTGGACAAAATAGCCAGAAATTACTTCTAAAGTGAGCAACATTTATAATTAATACACTACTGTTAAAGATTCGGCTCAGTATGAATCATTTCTGAATTCATGTGGAGAAATAAATAATTATGGCAAAGCATCTACAGAGGGGATTAACAACAGCTTTGATGTTCTCAAAGTTTCAAAATGAATTTAAAAAAAGATGCAAGAAATAGCCGCCTTTTAGGAGGAATTATCTCTTACAACTTATCTGTCAATATTTTCCATCAGAGGGTGTATCATGTACGTTAACACAAGCCGGGGCATCTGCAAAGGTGCTCGAGTTGCTGCCTTCCTACCACAGCCTGTCAGCACACGTCTAAAGCTGAGCACAATCAATCCATCATCTCACATCGCTGCACCATGATAACACTGCTGCTAGATGGATAGAAAAGGATGTACCACTTTTAAAAACCTCCTGAGCACAAAATCTTTTTGTCGCAGTGAGCGGCTTCAGAACACATTGTAAATTATGCATTTAAAAAGGGCCTATGATCCGACAAATTTGGTTTGAGAAATTATTATTTTCAAGGGGATCATCAATCACGCTGCACAACAATATAAACCAATTCACCTCCTGCGCAGCAAAGTATATGCAGAGGTACCATTTCAGTGGATAAAAAGTAGAAACCTTTTGAAAATTATGGATAGCTTCTTCTACTGTGCATAAAATTAGGGAGGTTGTTAACATTCAAGCCTTGGAAATCATTTTTAGTACTATTCTTTTATTGATTGCAATGTTAATTTAATGTTGCTTCTATGTAACTCCAAGGCTTGTTAGCTTGTGGTTTCCTGGTCATTTCTGTGAATATTTTCCACAGTATTTTATGATCTGTGGAAAAGAAAGTTGGAATATACAGAAAGAGACATACATCTTGTTGTTTCCCTCAGATAGATGCAGCCTCTTGTGATGGAAAACCATTCCATACACCTTGGTTTTAAATGCTTCACTTCTCATGTCACAGTTTATCGAAAATAATAAAAATACAGGACTAAAACTTTACATGAAAATTATGTCAGTTGAAAAACGGTTTCCTTTAACAGCTCATGACTGCAAAGTTTATCTCCGACGCTTGATCTGAAACAATAGCAATTAGCACCAGGAGGCGGGCGCCTTTCCATATGTATGCCCAGCACTTCTTTTTGCATCCAGCCTGCTGTTGGCCGATGACATCTGGGTTTCGACACATCTCCCCTCATTATTTACAGTTAACGTACGAAAGCCCGAGCTTCAGTCAGCAAACACCTCCCCTTTAGTGGAGGTAATGAACCAGGATCAGTGCAAAAATGCTTTAACGCTGACACAGTGAGTCAGAGCTGACCATTAACCTCTGATCCAAACTGGCCCTGCACATTTGTGTCCTTGCATAACTCTGCGGCTCACCAGTAAACCAGCTAACAGCTGTTACCCTCAGGGGCCTCCAACACCACATTTTTCACAAAGGCATGGATGTCCCGATTGCCAATTTCTGCATCAGTTCACCGGCTTTTTTTGGTAGGGAAAAAAAAGGGGGGAAAAAAAAGGTGCTGTGGTTGGCAAGTAGGCTTAAAATAACTGACATCGGGGTAGGCCAAGAGCTGTGACACAGCTGTTTTAGAGGACAGCTCAACTTGTATATATGTGGAGCTGTAGCCAACTAATTTCACTGTCGGGTAAGTTTGAGTCAAATTTTATTAGGATCTATACTCAGTGATCAGCCAACTATCTTAATGAGCTGAGAGAAAAATGTTAGTTTTCAGCTGGCTTTGAGGATCAAAGAAAAAGAGGCTGTAGATGACGGCAAAAAATAATCTAAAGATAATAGAAAAGAAACTTGGAAATGTAACTTTCATGAAGCTCCAATATTTGCATAAATTGTGCAATAACGCCATGCTTGGATTCAACAAATCAGAAAAGGAAATGAGTGCTGGCCCTCTGGGGAGCCTTTTGATTCACACTGTGCGACTGCTCTGTAGAATTAAAGGCTATGAGAAAATCAGCCACGGGTCTGAGCTCCAAAAAGCTAGCTTTACTGAGGCTACAGGGACACCTACTGGATAACGGTGATCATGACAAACTCACTCAAGTCAAAAAGAGGGCTAAGTTGAGATAAGTGCTGTATTTGTAAAAGTGCTGGAAAAATCCCACATTGGAATTCCCTATTTGTGTCTTCAAAAGGATTTTGTGGGTCCAGAGTTTGTATGAAAAAAAAAAAGCAAAGACAAAAGCAAAAGCAAAACGCTCTGACCTATAAGGAGGCTGAGAGGAGGTGAGCAGGAGGGGAAAGCGGTGAGGAGCTCCAGGACGCTGAGGCCCGTCTCCCGCAGGTACAGATTGTAGTCTGCGGCGCCCTGTTTGCTGCACAGCTCCTGCAGTCTCCTCCTCTGAGCAGCGTCTGCAGTGAACTCCACCAGCGCCCGCAACAATGCCTGACGGAGACACAGAGACCAGATGTGGTGTCACTTAGAGTCGTTCTGTAACTCCATCATCTTCAGCGGCTGCTTTTCCAGTTTTTCTCTGGTGCCATTCACCGCCGAACGTGAAACTTAAACCTACAGACACTCAGGACACACAAAGTGTGCTCAGGTTATCAAACAGGGCTTTGTCTGTGTTCTCTACACTACGGTGACAGACCTTGAGGTTAGACTAGTGCTAAACAAACATGCATTATGCATTATGAAAGTGTCTGAAAGTTTAGTTTACAGAGAAGCACAGAGGTGAATAATTCATACTTTACCTTGGTAAAAAAACATTTAACATTACCAAGTAATATATGTTACATTTACAGAAAACGTGTTGCAGTTAAACACCATTTTATTCACATTCTCAATAGTTTTCTAACTGCGGGAAATCATTCAAATTAGAGGATTAAAGGAAAAAAAGTATCAAAATTCCACTTTATTCTGTAACTATGAATCAATGAGGAATCGACACAGTGATCAGAACATCTAAATATTAGCCGTGCCACTGTACTCAGAAGATTCTCAGCGACTCATAAGAGCTTGTGCATGCATACTGGGATTAGTGACACTTGCGCATAACTCACACTGGAAGAATTATTATCTCTACCCTCCAGAACACTCTATGAAGCTGGAAAACCTTTAATGCCATTTCAAATGAAATGACAGAATTGGATTTTTGGGGCAATAATGGTGTTTGCCTGTGTTTGTAGAAGCATGCGTTTGTGTCCATAGAGACGGTGAGACAGGATGTGGATCTACCCAAATAAGATTCTTTTTACACAGATTATTGATTACACTGTTTTACTGAACATTTCAGGAGTTTTTAAATAAAACTTAAAGTCCAAATAATCTATTTTAGATTTAGTGGGGGAGATAGGGCTTTTCAAATATTTAATTTCTTCTATGTCATCAAAACGTGTTATTTTTAGATAACTTTGCCATCTTAAAAATTATAAATAACACTCAAACAACAGGACCATATGTAATCGTCACCAGATAGCAGATAGCATTTGTTTTCTTCATCATGTCAGATTGGATATTTAGAATTTTAGTTTGTAAAGATTTAATTAAAAAAAAATAAACTTTTAAAAGGGTAGAACCCCTTAAATTAATACAGAAGGTTGCTCTGAGATCTCCATTCACCACCATTTGCATAAAGATGTCCCAAAACAAGAAAGATGAAGGTGAAACAGATGCAGGAAACAAACTCAACCAAAGCTCTGGCACCCGTCTTAGCCAAGGACCACCATTTGAGACTTTCACACACCAAACATAACTGTGATTCTACACAGCCGCAGGGCACCGGGCCAGATTAATGATTATTGCAGCTTTGGCTCAAGTCTTAGAAGATCGAGTCTTGCTTGAACTTATCATACCAAACTTTAAACCCCCAGCATATCCTCTGGGTCCAGACCCAGTGTTGATGTGGATTGAGCACCAGAGGACTTAGTCAATAAGGAAGCCAAAATTGGTGCGATAAGCAATAACGTAATTACTGGTACAGCTCGACAGAAAATAAACAATAAACTGTGCTGTCCTCCAAGCCTTGGCAAAACGAGTAAAAGCAATGTTTACCAGCTGGGGGGAAAAAAAGGCAAATCTTGCCAACAACAAGCAGGATGTCACATTACAGAACCTGGGAAATTTGGACAGAAAAATCACTGCAGAGCAGGGCTTGAACATACAATACCTTCTTGGGAACACTTCTTATCTCCAGACACCATGTGAGCAGGAACAGCAGAGATACATTCTTGGGGATGTGGGAGGGGACTTGGGCACCTTCAACATAGAGGGAAGAAAATCTAATGAGGAGAGAAACGAGGGCTGCAAATAAGTGGGTCACTGTGAAAACAAACAGCAACATGCAATGTGGCCTATTGTGTTTAAAGATACAGGACTGTAGTGCGCTTTCTTTTGTCCTGTCAATCCAACACCTTGTTAAGATTTGTGTTTTCAAAGATGCATCAAGCATAAATTTAACAGCTGCTTTGCCTTTTTTGTTAGTGTCCTTTTTCAGAGTAACATGAACACGATGGTTCCTTTTGTCCTGAAGGCCCAGTCTGCGGAGCATTCCGTCCACCTCTGCAGCTCTGTTTGGGCAGAACACGTTGAAGGAATCCCCTGGCTGATAGCTCAAAGCAGGGTGTGCCTGGAGATGGAAAAAAACATCCATATGAAATTTTAAAAAAGGTTTCCTAATTCTTGTTCAAGCATTTCTAAGAAGGAATTTGTGAATCTCACTGAGATGTCCAGCTCTAGCAGCAGGGCAGTCTTGACTGAATCTCCTCCGCTCAGCTGAACACTCCTGGATATGGACACCTGATGCAGAGTCTCTTTATTCAACGGTCCAACACTCTGAAATGAAAAGTTGATTGAGATGAATAATAAAGAGTGGCTGAAATTCAGACTTTTCAGCTGCAAAATTCATCACCTCTTCCTCTGTGTCCACCTCCTGAAATGTAACATCTAAATAAGGCGATGGCAGCGAAGGAACATTAAGTAAAGATTCAGACAGTGGTGGAAGGGAGGCCATCAAAGAGGCTCCGTCGTTGGTTTCTGCCTTTGCTACTGATGAGGAGACACCGTCAGTACCAAGAGATTGTGACGCTAACCCTGTGCTCTTTGTAGAGGAGGCTGGACTGAGATCAGAAAGAGGAGGAGCAGAAGACGCATATTTAGAGTCCACGTTTGGAGATGCTTTGACTGGCTCACAGTTCTGCTGGTCAGCAATGCTTAGGAGGTTTAGGTGGACATCCAGTATGGATGAAGGAGAAGTTTCTTGGACTGAATCTTCTGCATTCTCTTTCAAGTGAGTAGTCCTGTCAGAGGATAGTTTTGATAAGGCCTCCCTGATGGCATTCCACAGTCCCTCAAGCCAGGGGTCTACAACCACCTCCAACCTGGTCCAGAAGATGATACGATGACAGTAGAGAAAGGTAGAAGTGTAGGAGTGCTGGTTAAATATCAATCACAGAGGGTCCAATGCTGACACTTTACTTTTCAGAAAAACTTACCCTGTGCCATCATCTGCATACCCAGTGGGATAGAACTGTTTGGCTCCAAGTTCCTGCAGACGACGCTCAATTGTCTTCCCACAGTTGCAGAAATCTGCATAATTTGTATCGCCCAAAGCTGAGACAAACAGACAATTGCAAATGAAGTTAGCACAGCAGCTGTGGAGAACATAAACTCTGCTTCAAGGTCATTTACACATAAGAAGGTTTTTTTTTAGATGCTCATAAGTATTTACCCAAAAGCGCATAGCAAAGGTGCTTAAAGTGATCAGATGAAAGGGTCTTCTTCTTGATGCTCCGAACAAACTTGAGCGTATTGTCTGGGGGTTCCCCATCTCCAGTGGTGGACACGATGAAGACAACAGGCGCTCTCTCCTTCTCTAGATCATACTGGTATAAGTTGCATAATTAATCAGTGGCTAATGTTTGCGTAATCCACACAGAGACATATCCAATAATGTTCAAGCAGTCATGTCAGTTTTTATGTTTGTTTTTTTAAAGGCATTTATATCCTTGCTTAAAAAACAAACATGTAATGAAAGAGTGTCTCTGCTATAGGGGAAATTATTGATCTGTACCTTGTCACTCTGGCTCAAGCAGCTGAGATCAGCAACTAGCCCGTTCTGCTCGGCCTCTTCAGCAAGCCCCTCGGCTATGGACTGGGCCTGGCCCTTCTGAGACCCGTACAGGATCACAAAGCGGGGCTTCCGTTCACCAGGCATCCTGGAGACCTCAAAGATACAACTGTCTCATTAGAATCTTCACACATTTGTGAAGATACTGATGCAGCTAAATAGAATATATCCATCTGGAATTAGTTTCTTAACACAGTTTCTTACTATGCTAAGCAAGAATTTTCTTAACAAAAGAGGCCGCTCAAACAAAGCGCGCTACAGTGAGAAGTTAGTGTAAGATTGCTCATAACTTTATAAGAAAGATTAATCCATGAATGTGTTGTTAAAAGTGCTTTGCAATAAATATCAAAGTGATATCGTTTTAATCCTACTACATTCTGTTATTAATGTAGTAGCTGTCATTCTTTCCAATGGGATGTTTTGAACCGTGAATATTTCTTAACCATTATAATATTATAGATTTCATACTCCTCCTGCTTTAAAAATATATGAATATTAAGTTTAAGACACAAACAAACATGCCAAAACTACTGAAATATTTCAATGCTTCATAGGAGGCAGGAGACTATATTGCCAAGTCCGTGTCTGCAAGGAGATATTTTCATCTTACTAACATGCTTTCAAATTTGACAGTTAATAGACAGGCGTCCATTGAGAAGTCTGAACGCCACCATACCAACAGGTATGGTCAGATTTGACGTTAAGTATAATGTTTACGTTGACAGCAGTTATCACAACAGCACACATGGATATGAGTTGATTTTTCTTACCTTCAAACGTACAACCAATGTTATCACATAACAAATACAGGGTTGTATGTTGTAGCTGAAATTAATACCCAACAGCTAACATCTGCACCGACGTACAACAGTACCTGACCCTGACAAGCTTTAGAAGCTAACGTGTTTCATTCCAAATAATAAGTTGCTTCTTTGCTATGATAATGATAATAAATATAACCACAAAACAACTAATGTTCTGTGTGGTTTCAGACGAAAAATCCTACCTCTACAAGCCTGCTGTAAAAATTCACGTGTCCACTTCTCATGAAGTCTTCTATTTCCTAACCTCGCGCGAGATTACAACACAAACTGAGATTGAACGGGATCGGAATGAACCACAGATAAAAAACAAATCCGGTTATTGTTCTGAACATATTCGTTTATTTAAACATTATAATTATCATATGCATGCCTTATTTTTATGTAATCAATTAAATCAGTCATTATTATATTGAATAAACGTTTTACAAAAGTTTAATTTGACGGACAGCTTGGCATTTGGTTCCGCCCTCCCCGCCCGTAGAGTCTTCCAGAAGTCGCCGGCAGATCCGTGCGGCTTGCAGCTCAGCTTCACTCCAACTTTACATCATCTTAACTGGCTATTTGCTCAATTTAGGTCTTGATCCGTGTCCTAAACCTTTTTTGCAAGATGTCCTCATTAGGGACACTGGCTTTTGATGAGTATGGGAGGCCCTTCATCATCATCAAAGACCAGGACAAGAAGACACGGTTAAGTGGCATTGACGCATTGAAGGTACAATGGGCTAGCTTGTGCAGCGTATCTGCGACACGATGGCTAACAAGCTACTTTTTTGTGTGTAAATTACATGGATATGTTATGTAAAGCTGGAACAATGATAGGCTGTATCTATCAATTTTACCATTATGCATGTATCTGTCAAATAGATAATTGGGTAAGATTATCAAGTTATTCTTACTCATGTGATTAGCCGTTGATGCTAATGCCCATGTGCTCTGCAATACGTACTGCCGGTGGGTGTTGCTACACAGGGCAGTGCCAAAAATGGTCATTTTTTTACGCGTCTGACTTCCATATTTAAGAAGCAAATCCTGACATTAGTGATCAAATAATTGGATCAGTATTAAAGAGTGTGCTGACATGCAAATGTTTGTTTTGCAGTCTCATATTATGGCTGCCAAGGCTGTGGCTTCAACACTTAAAACATCTCTGGGGCCAAATGGTGAGTATGGTTATTGCCTTATTAAATGTATTTTAGGTAAACAGTATGAAAATAATATTTGATAGCTGTCACGCATTATGAATATCCTCCTTTTGTATTTGTAAAACCAGGTCTCGACAAGATGATGGTTGACAGGGATGGGGAGGTAACTGTCACAAATGATGGTGCCACCATTCTTGGCATGATGGATTTAGATCATCAGGTCGCCAAGCTCATGGTGGAGTTGTCCAAGTCTCAAGATGATGAGATTGGTGATGGAACAACTGGAGTTGTTGGTAAGTGATTTTGGCAGTTGTATCTAATAGTCTGTTTACAAATATCCCTATTCCTTACCTCACTTTATCACATTGGTTAGTTCTTTTGACCATTGGTAATAAATGGCATGTCTATTTATTTAAAGTTTAGAGCAAAATGTGTCATATGACAGACGCACCTGGTCACTCGCTTATATAGTTTTTCTTTCTGCCTCCACAGTGCTAGCTGGAGCTCTGCTTGAGCAGGCTGAGCAGCTTCTCGATCGTGGAATCCATCCCATCAGGATCTCCGATGGTTATGACCAGGCTGCACACCATGCCATTGAACAGCTGGACAAAATTGGCGAAACCTTCCCCTTTGATCCCAAGAACACAGAACCACTCATTCAGACGGCCATGACAACACTTGGATCCAAAGTGTAAATCTTGTTTTGTTTTCTTCCCCCCACCTCCTTCTCACATACTGGAAATCAGGCCCGCTCAACTTTAAAATTCTGTTGTTTTTTCTAGTATCAACCGGTGCCACAGGCAGATGGCAGAGATTGCAGTGAATGCCATCCTCACTGTGGCTGACATGGAAAGAAAGGATGTAGACTTTGAGCTCATCAAAATGGAGGGCAAAGTGGGAGGAAAGCTGGAGGATACGCAGCTCATCAAAGGGGTGATAGTTGACAAGGAGTTCAGCCACCCTCAGATGCCCAAGGTATGATCAAAGGAAAGTCTTCAGAGCACATCCTGGGCTCTCTGTTCAACATGCCAAACGTTTGTGGTCCGTTAGAGTTTAATGGTTTATGCTTTAAAAGAACAAATTGAAACTTAAAGCTAACAACCAGCCACAAATGTTTCGGTAATTTCTGCACAGCTCCAGTCCATTAAGGGGATCCATTCGAAGATACTTGAAGGACTGTGTGCATAGAGATGAAAACAAGACAGAGATGCATAATTTAAGGCTCAAAGCTATTGCTGTGTTTTTTATACTGGCCTGGGAAAGAACATTTTTACTCGTATTTCTACAGAACAGTGACTGTTCTAAAGGCTGCTTTGTTACCCTTTTAGCTTCTGAAAGATGTCAAACTTGCTATCCTGACCTGCCCATTTGAGCCCCCCAAACCCAAGACCAAGCACAAGTTGGACGTGACCTCCGTGGAGGACTACAAAGCCCTCCAGAAATATGAAAAGGAAAAATTTGAGGAGATGATTCATCAGGTTTGCCACCGCCGAAAACATGTGCTCCCTATGTGTGAGGAATAGCTAACAGTTATGTGGTTGTCACGGATGTGGAAATGACATGTTCGTGTCTTTTCATTCTTAGGTAAAAAGCAATGGAGCAACCTTGGCCATCTGTCAGTGGGGCTTTGATGATGAGGCAAACCACCTTCTTTTGCAAAATGATCTGCCTGCTGTGCGCTGGGTTGGAGGGCCTGAGATCGAGGTGAGCAAAATTTGTTCTATGCAGCAGAGCTTATTAGTGTACCTTTTCACATTGTTAATAAGTTGGAGGATTAGCCTTTTGCTTCATAGCGTTGCTGGACTTGGTTATTTAATGCCGTTTGTGGTGCAGTTGATAGCGATAGCGACAGGAGGCCGCATCGTACCGAGGTTCTGTGAGTTGACACCAGAGAAGCTCGGTACAGCCGGCCTGGTCAAGGAGATCTCCTTCGGAACCACCAAGGATCACATGTTGGTCATCCAAGAGTGCAAAAACACCAGAGCCGTTACCATTTTCATCCGCGGAGGCAACAAGATGGTGAGCAACCACGAGACCCGGTTTCTCCTCGGTTACACGTTGACTGCAGCGCGGGACCGCTCAGTTCACTCTGAATCTTTTGAATAGATCATCGAGGAGGCCAAGCGCGCCCTCCACGACGCTCTGTGCGTGATCCGTAATTTGGTCAAAGACAACCGCGTGGTGTACGGCGGTGGGGCCTCAGAGATCGCGTGCGCCCTGGCAGTAAACCAGGCCGCCGACAAGGTGAGGCATGAGGTCCAGACTCGGTCTTAACCAATCGGAAAACTTTCGCTAACGGCATCTCCTGTTATTTCTGCCCGTTCTCTCCACCAGTGCCCATCACTGGAGCAGTATGCCATGAGGGCATTTGCAGATGCCCTTGAGGTCATTCCGATGGCTTTGGCTGAAAACAGCGGGCTGAACCCCATCCAGACTATGGCGGAGATCAGAGCCAGACAGGTCAAAGAGAACAACCCCTTCCTGGGCATTGACTGTCTACACAACAACACAAATGGTAAGCAGAGTCACCAGTTCGTCAACAGATCTCAGCCATCCCTTTCACACAGCTGTGCGCTTTAAATCAAAAGCCGGGCGAGGTATCAAAGAGCTTTTCTTTTGTTTTTTCTCATGCAGACATGAAGCAGCAACATGTGATCGAGACCCTAATTGGCAAGAAGCAACAGATCCAGCTGGCTACTCAGGTGGTCAAAATGATCCTGAAAATCGATGACATCCGAAACCCGGGAGAGAGTGAGGACTGAGCCCCCCCCACCGTGCGAAGAAGCAGCTCGGTTGGCTCGTCAAGTCTTTGTCTGAGCTCTTCTAGAGGTTTTCGGCACTTCTCCCAGAGTTCCATGTCCAAACCGCACTGCTTATTCCTATTTATCGTTTGATACAATATGTCCAAGCTGTTCAACTATCAAAGCCACCAATAAAATGTCGGTCTGTTTAAAATCACTAGACCCAAGCTTAAATTTATTGTGGTCAATCCATAAAATATTTCAGATATAATGTGCACAAATAGCTGTTTTAAAACATGTCAGAATGAGTAGTAAATGGTATAAATCAGGAGAGATTACGAGCTTTACATCTTTGAGAGCAACATGGTCTATTGAGGTGAAATGATTATCATCCTCACAAGGTCAATTACATCCTCATGCTTTGGCTTTTTGCTTCTACTCTGAAATGGTAATCGGTAAATTACTTGGGAGATTAAATCCATGATTCTTAAACTGCTTTTTTAAATGTTTACCCTGAATAGAGTTTAAATATATCTAAATGTATGACGTGTAAAGTTGCAGTTTGGATGCTTTTATCGGTTACTGTGGGAGCTAAAATTGAAATTGCAGCGATTAACACTCCAAGTGGGATGTTATAGCCTGTTTTATTTACTGTTTATGGTCTTGCATTAACAAAGTGATATTGGACAACATCCACAGTCAGCACTTAGAAAAGCAGTGTTTCTCTGGCTTCATTTGTATTACATTACATAATCATTAAAAGTCCCTTTAAAAAGACATTTTACATACTTTGACTTTGGAACATTTAAAAATTCGGTGCAATGCCACCTTTAGATGTGACTCTTATAAGGCACCACTATAGTTTTGTGGGTGATTTAAGGCACTTGTAATAGACTTTGACTAATTCTTATTGAATATCTTATCTACATATACTTGTTAAACCAATTGAGCATGTCTGCTCTGGCCTCCTGGATGTAGGGTTTGTCAGCGGGGTTGATGTCCTCTCTCTTGCGGTGGACAAAGCCGTGAGTCTGACCGGGGAATATTTTCACCTCGTAATCCACGGAGCATTTCTCCTTCAGCTTTGCCTCCAGGACTTGAACCTAAAGAGCAAAATAGCGTGACTGTGTGGTGCTGCAGCACCGTCTGCCAAACTGTGAGCAAGTAAAATCGGCAAAAACTGCCCCCACACCAACCTGTTGAAGAGGGATGACCTCATCCTTTTCCGCAAAGATGAATAGCGTCGGGCTCTTCAGCCCAAATCGGTCCTCCCCTTCTCGAACCAGGCCTGCACAGCCCCGCATAACACACATCAGAAGGCAGGGTCATGGTAATGGGTGTGTGTTCTGTTAGAGAACCATACCATAAACTGATACTCCAGCTTTAATCTCTGGATACTGTAAGGCCAGGTAATGCGTGGCAATCCCTCCCCAGCAAAAACCCACGACTCCAATGCGATTGGCCCCGCACTGCTCCTTCAAGAACTTCAGCACTGCATCCACTTCCCTGAGAATGAAAAATTTGTCACGGCTCAGAAACGAGCAAACTATAAGGAGACCCACACGTCATTAGAGGCACGCAAAGCAAAAGAAAGTTTGCTTGCATTACATTAATTTGGAAAACAATCCAAATCCCCTGCACTCATAGTGTACTTACTTGTTTATATTGGTCGGTTTTTTGTCCTCAAGCCATTTCTCAAATTTGGACCAGTCATGAGCTGGACTCCAAGGTTCCTTACCAAGAAAGAAGTCTGGACACACAGCACTGTACAGAGCAAAACAGTGATGGGAGTAATCCTCCCCGCACCCATGGGGGCACACCCATTAAGTAATATAGGACTTTGGATCTAATTCTACATAATAAATTACTATTCAAGATCACGAATGGAATTTTACTCACGTGTAACCATTAGCAGCCAGCATATCGGCCATGTATCTGGTGTTGGGAAGCTGCCACCCAAAAATATCCTGAATGACAATAATGGCCCTGTCAGATGTGGTGGTGGGTTTCACTACATATGCTTTCACATGCTCTATTTGGACCTCCTGACCAAGCCCACCATAATCCATCCGATCACCAATATCACAAGGACAAGGGTTTCCTTCATTGGCCATCTGCAAACGCAAACAGACGGAAAAAAAATCAGTGAAAATATCCATTTAAATAAGAGCGTTTATATACATTATAAACATTGCTTCACATACGACAGTTTTGTCATTATAGGTGATTCAGGGGGATTTTGAGTTATTTGAATAGGAAAAGTTGCCTATCTACTCTTAAAAGCAGATGAAATAGTAAAATTGTGCTTTTTAAAAAAATCCAAAGGGGGCGTCAAAAGTTAACCTCTCGTGCAAAACAATGACAAAGCGTTTTCCGGACGCACTAAGATGTTAAGTCAACAGCTTGTTTGCCTAAAGAGGCAAAGCGTTTTAACATTGAACATGCTTTTCTAGTTCGTTGGTATGATCAGAGACTTACCGTTTATTGAACTTTTTTTTCTTTGCAGCGACTGTAAGCACACTGTGGAAACTCGAATACTCGAATACTGTAGAGCCTGGATAGTCAGTCACCTGACAAAAATCATTCCTGCTTTGACGTAAAAGTATTGGAAACGGAAGGTTTTGTAGTTATTCCGCCCCCCAGCGAACGTGAGCCCCGTCATTACGGAGCGACAAGATACGTGCAAAGGCGTTGACTGCCGGGACTCTAGCGCCATCTTGTGAGGAGTGCTCGTCATCTTTGTGTGGCCCTAACTTTAGCTAAATTGCACTTTTAAAACAAAGTGGATAGAAATGTAGTTCATCGCTCATTTTTAATGGATTTAATCATTCATTGTGTCTTATCTTATGCAATATTTTTCATTTAGCGCTTCTTTGACCTTCCATTCTCTTTGTATTTTTGTCACCAGAAGTGGATGGAATGAACTTGACATAATGGCAGAGGAACACATGAAAATGCATTAAATAAGTGAAAGTAATTAGTTCAAATTTGAATAGTTAAAGGGATGAATGAACCACTACATACAGCCTCCTATTATTCCCATACCAGTGAGCTTCATACATGAATATTACGTTTAGTTTTATTTTATTGTGTTCAGAACAAAAGTGGATTACTAAATTACTTGTTACAATTATTGGCCAACTCTTTTTTTTTCGTAGTAACTTCCTGGCACACTTTAGCCTATAGTTTCTCTCCAAAATCCAATTAAAGTTAAAATATTTTAACGAATGTGAGAGATTTTTTAAAACAAGCGAAACAGAGAAAATACTGATTATCGAAGGTATGGACTTCCTTCTAAGATTCCTTTACAATATTGAAGTTCTAATTAAATTTCGTATATTTTTATTAAGTCTGATGTTTAATTAGCCTAGGTCTACCCAAAAGGCACCGCTGGGATTCGAACCCAGGATCTCCTGTTTACTAGACAGGCGCTTTAACCAACTAAGCCACGGCGCCGCCGAATGTACGTCATTTTCCAGGATTACTTATCGGTGACATCAGCTACACTGTCACACCACCTCGGGTTGTATTGACGTCAGATTAACGTTACATAGACAACGTGTCGAAGTAGAACTCTGCATATATTTGTTAAATTGTGACTGAAATTTCATACATACCTTCTGGAAGCACCATCGGTAAAACCTCGGAGTACATGCATCACCATAAAAACATCAAACCAACACGAGCATTAAAACATTTAACATTAAGATCAAAATAGATTCATTTACTCCGAGCAGTCACATGACTGTATGAGACTGCCGTAAAACAACATCCGCTGCTGTGAAATAAAGCTGTTGTGACAGGACCTATTAAAAAAAGTTGCGCATGCGCCACGTCAGTTAGCCTCTAGCCATTTGTCATCTAGCTTCAAACTGTCGTTTTAGCTACACATAGATTTTCGCGATCCTACCAGTGTAATGGTTTAGACTGAAATAATATTCTGAAGTAGGGATACGTGTACATCAGGGAACACAGACTGCCGGCGAAAGGACACCGTAAAGCACAGATTTAGGTGCTGATCTGTGGGGAAACCATTTTATGACTGCCAATGCACCCAAATCATAAGGATACATTCGTCTCGCTAGCTTAATGTAGCTTGTCAAACGATACTGCCTTTTTCGTGGATGGGTTCATTGTACAAGGTCCTCCGAGAAGAGAAGGTGACTGGTGCATAGCCAGTAACATGGACACTGCCGAAGAGGGTAAGTCTTCCATTGCTTTCCTGTTTGCGGGGTAAGAAGAGTTAGCTTCGCAAAGACAACGTGATCTAACCCTGCTGTTGAGTTGGCCTGCTGATGGTTAACTCAACTGGTTAGCATATCCTGTCAGTGTAGTGTGGGGGTAATTCAGAAAACGACAGTTCAACGTTGCTCCAACAAAAACGAGCAGAATACAATGGCCGACTGTAATATAATATTTGGAGTTGAAAGCATAGAAAGAACCAGAAGTAGCTGCTGATGTCACCGCTTTCCTGTCAATTAACTGCCGGAGTGACATAAGTAAGCCCGTTTACTCAGTGAAAAACAGCGCAGCTAAAGGCATCTGTGCTATTCTGTATTCCTAATTCAGTCCTTTACATTACCAAGTGAAATACCCCAGTTTCTGTAACGTTTATTTAATGGCTGATACAGCTGAATTGTGTTATAAGCACTGCAGCATTTTGCCATTTTCCATTTAAACACAATCTCAAAAATTAGATCAGTGGTTTGTCACCCGATTTTGCCAACAGTGTTTTACAAAACGAAACATGGTTGAATATAAATTGTCTGCATAGATATGATTATACAAATCCTAAATTAGCTATTGATCCCTCAAACTACCCATGCCTCCTTTAGATAAAAACCACCAGCAAATCATGTCAAACATTTTCTCAATAATGGCAACTGGAATGACAGTGGACAATTAATGTCTTATAAAAGTATGATCAATTCAAAATAAAGTAATTTCTATTCCAGTATTGCCATGAAAGGCAGCTTGAATAATGTCTAATGAGTACGCTTACAGTCATTTGAGTGTAAACTCTTATCAGTCTTTTATCAATGGCAAATTAAGTTGCGGAAAACAAGACAGAATTATGACTCAGCACAGCTAAATTAGGCCATCATGCTGACGTGGTTCTGATCATTTCAAATAACTGTGTTATACAAGTAACTAATATGCAATTCCGACAGACATATCAACCCATTTCTTTTATATATTTTTTTGTTTGTTATTAATGTGTTCATATTGTTCATCCAAGCAATCAACGCATGTCAACGTCAGTGACATGTTGTACGTTTCCTTCTGTGATCAGCGGATATTTGTCGGGTGTGCCGCTCTGAGGGGACCCCAGACAAACCCCTGTATCACCCCTGTGTCTGCACCGGCAGTATCAAGTTTATCCACCAGGAATGGTAAGTGTTTTGGTCAGGTTCTTCTTCAATGATGGCCGGCAGTATTTTTGATGTGGCAAACAATAGTATTCCATCAACGACTTGCAAAATACAAACTTCTACATCATATTTTAAAGAGAACTCTAGACTGTTTGTGAACTTTAAGCATTAGTAGCCGGAAGCAGTAGTCTGCAATAGGGAGTGGGGGTCTGCTGCTGAATACCACTATCAGAGATGGGACAAATGTCTCCCTGTTTCTGGCCTTAGGTTATAAAAACCTGGTTATAAAAACATGAAGTTAAAATTCTAACTGGATAATTGGTCTTTTTTTTTTTAAAGGATCTCCTCCCATTTTTAATCTGAGCATTTAAGGAAAGAAATCCAGTGTTTTAATCAACAAGATCAAACAAATATATAACAAATTTGTTCAAATACTGATAGACAAATACAAATGGTGATCTGGAAACCTTGACTCAAACTAAGTGTAAGTGACTAGGTTTATTTCCTCAAGGTGTTTGTTATCAGATTACATAAAACATGGATTGTGCACTCTGGTCATTTCTATAGCGGTGGCCTCCTGGGTAAAGTAACCCAAATGTCACAAAGAGGTTGGAGTACAGGCTTGTCCTCTATAACACACAATGTCCCAGATTACTGGCCTTGGGTGTTAAATTCTTCTGTCTCATGTGTAGTGTGACTGTCACTGGTTGTAAGATTGTCAGGCGGCCGCAAATCCCTCTGGCACAATTGCAGGCCAGGCCTGGATCATTGAAATCTGGGGACTCCTTAGTGGACAGCATAGTTATGTAGGATTAGTGCACCTCGCAGCTGGCCCAAGAAACCTGCAGGGAGGGGCAAAAAGAGGACTGAAGAACAAAAGCCTTGGAAGTTTATTTTACATTGGGACACAAAACCTGTATTATTGAGGTCAAACTGAGGCTTAATAACATGATCTGTGTAAAAACGATGTCAGACTTGATTAATTACTTGATGTTGTTGGATTCAGGGCTGTTGTGGCCTAGTGGAAGATTACAGAGCTAATGTTTGAATTGCCATTTTATGTTGGCTGTTGATAAGAGGGGCGTGCTCACGTTAAGCGTGTTTGGGTTGGAGGTCAGGGGAATGGGATTGGATGTCTTGAATCTTTTTCACATCCACTCACTGTGGGGTCAGGACAGCTGGAGCTTTGAAATAAAGATCATAGATTGGCCCATTTGTTTTCATTTAACAAAGCTGGTGTGGTAAGTTTGCCTTTCCAGGGCTCTTTCTATTAAGAATTTAGCTCAATCTAAACTTCATGAGTTTCTAACTCTGAACATTTGAAAATCCAATTATGACTGTTAAGTCTTTTTTTGAATGTGTGGTGAGAGGCCATCAATATTAATATTCTTTTGTTTGATTAAAAACGCGATATACATACACAAATTATGCCGCACACAGTTTTTTTCACCACTTGAATGTCACTTTGCAGTTTGGTCCAGTGGTTGAAGCACAGCAGGAAGGAGTACTGTGAATTATGCAAACACAGATTTGCTTTCACACCAAGTAAGTCCATCTGCTGAAATTTGGCCCAGATAACCTGTGGAAATATGACTGTATGATTCATTTGTCTTAGTCCTTTCTGCATGTCTGCTACAGTATTGATCATATATGGACCATCTCTTTTTGACTAACGTACATTCCAGTGTTGCAAACGTAAAATGAGCCGTCACGGTGGATGTTAATGACTTCACCCCCTTTGTCGTCCCACCTTAGTCTACTCCCCAGATATGCCCTCACGTCTGCCCATTCAGGACATCTGTGCTGGCCTGCTGACCAGTGTGGGCACAGCCATCCGCTACTGGTTCCATTACACGCTGGTTGCCTTCGCATGGCTTGGAGTGGTTCCCCTCACAGCATGTGAGTAGTACAGCAAGTACAGTCCACAGTCACCAGGAGCAGATCCCTGATACCGGGCGGTCTTTTTCTTGAAATGTTACTTTTCGGCTGATGCATCAAATGTTATTACAATGTTATGTCATTCCAATATAATAACTTGTTTAAAATGTTTTAGAACAAATGTTTGAGACATATTGATGTTTTAAATATTCTCTAAATTCTCATATTCTCTAAATATCTCTGACCCAAGGCTATGATTAAAAGTAAATTGATGCGTACACGTGATGCTGCTTTGATTCTCGTTCTCTTCTCTTTCTTTTTTTTTCCCTCAGTGAGCACATAATGCAGTGATTAAGTGAAAATGGCAGAAATTTCACACATAAGCACACACACATGCGTGGTTTAACGTGATCAACAGCCTTAATGCTGTAGTATCTTTACATAACACGCGGTCGCTTTGTGTTCTCCAGGAAGCATAAATCCCCCTCAATCCTCAGTAAACGAGGGCTAGAGCTGCTCAGTGCTTTCATGTTATGGAAACGGCCATATACGGACGTTTTGTAAATGTGTTATTACACAATTTATTAAAGATTAAATTGATGTGTGACGGGTCTGTTGCAGGTCGCATCTACAAGTGTCTTTTTACCGGCTCTGTGAGCTCCCTTTTGACACTGCCACTGGACATGCTGTCTACGTAAGTGCCCAGTGTTCCCCCGCATGACGCCAATGCCACCCACTCTCTGCTCATATGCGTTAGAATGTGTGTGTGTGTGTGTGTCTGCAGAGAGAACCTCCTTGCAGACTGTCTACAGGGTTGCTTCGTGGTCACCTGCACCCTGTGTGCGTTCATCAGCCTGGTGTGGCTCAGAGAACAGATAGTCCACGGCGGCGCCCCACAGTGGTTGGAGCAGCACCAGCCGCCGCCCCCCAACCCAGCCGGACCGGCCAATGAGGTGCGCAGTTGGAAACATCACAAAAATAAACAAACAGATTACCTCAGTTCATTATTGCAACCTGTTTTTTTTGTTTGTTTGTTGTTTAAGAAGATGATTTATAGACCTCTGCACTTGCTAATTAAAACATACAGCCAGTATCCGGTTCTTAGAATTAGAATAATTATGGTGTACATTTTTTATTATTCCATCTAATCCATTTAGATCAGATCTGTTTGAATGGCCTGTGATTGTTCCCTCTCAGGCCCAGGCTGCAGGTCAAGGAGCAGCTGATGAGCCCCCTGCAGCCCAGCCGGCCCCTGCTGACCCCCCAGCCCAGAATGAGGCGGAACCTGAGCCCCCAGATGCCCCCCCAGACCAGGCTGATGACCCAGAGCTGGAGGAGGAGGGGGCAGCCGCTGAAGACGCAGACCCCAACAACGGAGCACAAGGTTGGACTATGATTTTCGAACATTTTAACGTATTACAGCAGACAGTTTCTTCTTTGAAGTAAAGAGTGATATGATATAAAAATGTGTCCAAAAGCTGCCAGGCAGCTGACATTTATTCATGGATATGATTGATGGTCACACTTTACAGCAGTCACAAAAAGACTGCCTGATCATTTATTTTATCAGACATTCTGGCAGTCGGGTTTCAGTACACAACAAGAAGCCAGTGTATGTCAGTGAATTCCTCCAGACCAGCGTTGGTTATACTGTCGGCCCCAGAAGCTGAAAGATTAGCCATTAAATGAGAAAGAAACCTCAGAGCTTTTCTGTGCAGACACATGAAATGTCAGGCTTATTTTTGTTCAGTCTGTCTCCAGAGTTGTTTTCCAGGTGTTTGATTTGACACGTGTCTGTCGCTGCAGATGACATGAACTGGAATGCTTTGGAGTGGGACAGAGCAGCAGAGGAGCTCACCTGGGAAAGGGTTAGTGGGAGTAAAATAGGTGTAGTTTAAACACCACCACTCATTCGTCACAATCTACAGGCCTGTAAATAATGTGCTCACTAAAATGAGAACATTCTCAATTTCCCCCTTAGATGCTTGGCCTGGATGGTTCGCTGGTATTTTTGGTAAGCCTTAATATCTGTAACTTTTAGGCTCTGAGAAGGCCATTATTCTGGCTTCAGAGCTCTGCAAAATATAGACAAAAAGCACTCGATGGCTTGAAGGAAGACTGTCATCTTTGTCTCTTAGGAGCATGTGTTTTGGGTGGTGTCTCTAAATACACTCTTCATTCTGGTCTTTGGTAAGTAGATTGAACTGACGTGACTCTTGCTATTTTTGTCTCACCAAAGACAGATTTCAAAATGTCATCTTTTTTTTCTGTCTGTCTCAGCATTTTGTCCCTACCACATCGGACACTTCTCCGTTGTTGGCATTGGCTTTGAGGAATATGTAAGATGTCATTTTATCACTTTGTAACAAAATGATTTTTATTTTATTTTATTTTCACTAAATACTATTTCTAATTTTCCATAGGTTCAAGCATCCCACTTTGAGGGCCTAATCACAACAATCGTGGGCTATATACTTCTGGCTATGACGCTCATCCTGTGTCACGTATCCTTCCGCCCACAAATTCCTAAGATGTGGAAATTTAGTCCAAACAGAATCCGACAGTTTGACATGTCGATGGTGTTCGACAAGCTAATGGCCATGTCATGGAGTAATTGTATTGAAAGTTACAACCCGTGCACGCAGTGTTCCTCCTTAATTGCTGTCTGAAGGGACTGGCTGCTCTGGTCAGGTTCCAACGCTCCCGCCGTCTCCTTGGAGTCTGCTACATTGTTGTCAAGGTAACCTCACTCAATGAGTTTCCGTTTTCTTGGTGCTTCTGTGGTCAGTTGCCTTAGCGGAAATGCACTAAAACATCCACAATGTTTCTGCATCAATACTGAATTCTATATTTTACAAAGACTTTATGTCCAGTTATAAAATAACAGATTAAAAGAACATTAGACAGATTTGAAATACTGACATCTTGGCATACTGAGATCTTAAGTTTTTCATACATTTGCTTGTTTTAATAAAAAAGAAATCTCTTCTGTTCCAGGTGTCTTTGCTGGTTGTTGTGGAGATTGGCGTCTTTCCACTGATCTGCGGCTGGTGGCTTGACATCTGCTCTTTAGTAAGACAGTATTTCATCCCGCATAATGTGAATGAGTAATTCATAACGTACAGCCTGTCTGTCAGCAGCATTTTAAACTCGGGGATAAAGGTATTTATTAGAGTTCTCTGCTATCAACGGGGACGTTTTTTCTTCTTTTTTTTAATCTGTCCGGCAGAACCCAACAAGAAATCGTCCCAAAGCTGAAAGTTAAACCTTTTGTCTGATTTTAATTTTCACTGGCTTCCCTCCCACAGGAAATGTTTGATGCCTCATTAAAGGACAGAGAACTGAGTTTCAAATCGGCTCCTGGTACTACCATGTTCCTGCACTGGCTTGTGGGAATGGTTTATGTCTTCTATTTTGCGTCATTCATTCTCCTTTTGAGAGAGGTAAGACCTGAAGAGCCCCTCAGCTATTTTTTTCAGATTTAGAGTGCTTGAGGGTAATTTGACCTCGGCTTAAATGTGCTGTGCTGCGTCTCCATCAGGTGCTGAGACCGGGAGTTCTGTGGTTTCTGAGAAACCTCAATGATCCGGACTTTAACCCGGTGCAGGAGATGATCCATTTACCCATCTACAGACACCTGCGGCGGTTCATCCTGTCCGTGGTGGTCTTCGGCTCCATCGTGCTGCTCATGCTGTGGCTGCCAATCAGACTCATAAAAGTACTGCTGCCCACCTTCCTGCCGTACAACGTAATGCTCTACAGGTAACCAACAGATATCTTTTTTTTACATGTACTTTTGTTTATGCGTTTATACTTTTGACGGTGTTGCCTCGAAATCCACAAACTCTTTTAGGGGATTCGGAGCAGCATAAGCTGTCAGTATTTCTGTGATTTCCGTTTAGGTCTGGCTGAATGATGTTAAATCCTGAATATTAAACAGCAACTCAGTTTTGTTTTGTTTTTCTTCTTCTTGCTTGGTTAAGTGATGCAAAAACAGTTTGACCCACTCAAAGTTCTTTTCCTGACCCTCTTCTTTCCCTTCCTCTCAGTGACGCCCCTGTCAGTGAGCTGTCTTTGGAGCTCTTGCTGCTTCAGGTGGTGCTTCCTGCCCTGTTGGAGCAGGGACACACCCGCCAGTGGCTGAAGGGCCTGGTCCGAGCCTGGACAGTTAGCGCTGGTTATTTATTGTAAGCTACGTTAAACGCTTTTTCCTTTTTTTCCCCCTACTCTCTGGGCATATCATACTTAGCTTCTGACTTTTGCTTCCTTTTATGACTCACCACCTCTATCCATCTGCAGAGACCTCCACTCTTACCTCCTTGGCGAGCAGGAGGACAATGACGCCAACCAGCCTGTGAATAACAATAACAACAACAACCCCCCACACGGACACCACAACAACAATAACAACCCTGCCCCTGCTGTCGGAGAGGGGCTGCATGCAGCCCATCAGGCCATTCTTCAACAAGGGGGCCCTGTGGGTTTCCAGCCCTACCACCGACCCCTGCGCTTCCCTTTCAGGGTGAGGTGGCCTCATGGCGTTACAGCTTACAGCAGCTGTTTGTGGGATCCAGGATATGCAAAGATGGATTGAGGGAAGCAGAGTTGTGTGTTGAGACGGTGCATCATTTACTTGTATTAAAAAAAGATGCTCTCATGGCACAAACATATCATCGTCCCCTGACCCAAAGAGCATGTACCTTCAACTTTAATTGTGCTCTATGGCCAAGTTTCTTTCCAAATGTGCGCATAATGTTAAATGCACTTTTTCTTAAAGAATCGTGATTCAAACGTCTTCAAACATTTTTGGCTCCATTTCTTATGCAAAGGGATAGATTTTCAGCCCAGCTGCATCATTTAGGACTATAAATGATACTTTATCACCTTATCACTGAAACTGTAGATAATCTGGGGACTGCAGCTCCCAAACTGAATTGTCACGAATTTTAACTTAAACTTTGAGTTCGGGCGAGATGTTTTGTTCTAAAGCACGTTCTCTTCTCTCCAGATTGTTTTGCTGATAGCCTTCATGTGCATCACTCTGCTGGTGGCCAGTCTTGTGTGCTTAACACTACCAGGTGAGGTGTGGTTGCCCACAGCTGGACCAATGGGTCATTTTCAACGCTGTAGCATAATTAAAAGCTGTATGGAGCAGGATGACTTCTGTGCAAATAAATATAGTAGTCATCTTTTCTCCACAACTGCTGTTAGGTCGGCACTGATGAGGATGTTTTTCTAATTGTCTTTCAGTGTTCACTGGCCGCTGGCTGATGTCCTTCTGGACAGGAAATTCCAAAATCCACGAGCTGTACACAGCAGCATGCGGTCTGTACGTCTGCTGGCTTTCTATCCGTGGAGTGACTGTTCTGCTGGCCTGGATGCCCCAGGGACGCAACGTCATCATGCGCAAAGTCCAGGAATGGACGTTCATGGTCAGTATCAGCGAGCAGCAAAGCGATAAATGGACAGTTTGAAGCTGGACCTGCTCTGGTTAATGGTGGCCCCTCCCTCGTTTGTGCAGATCCTGAAGACCCTCGTTGTGGCCCTGCTGGTCGCTGGGGTCATTCCACTGCTGCTGGGCCTGCTGTTTGAACTGGTCATTGTGGCCCCGCTCAGAGTACCTCTGGACCAAACACCGCTCTTTTATCCCTGGCAGGTATGATCTTGACCAAATGTCACTTTTTAAAGTGGAAACTCTTGAAATGTACTGTAAAGTTTTAGGGAGTTTTTAAACCTGCCTTCCCTGACAGGACTGGGCTCTTGGAGTGCTCCACGCCAAAATCATCGCTGCCATCACTCTCATGGGTCCTCAATGGTGGCTGAAGACCGTGATCGAGCAGGTAAATATTCAATAATAATGAGTCATTGATCCGCACCAATTCCTTTTGCTCCTGACTACGTTTCCATTGGGAATTCACGGCTGACATTTGAAGAGCAACATCCAAGGAATTTTTAACATTAATTCAAGATTAGAAGCTTTTTTTGTCGGTTTAAAGCTAAAGAAAAGTGCAAAAGCTTGCTGAAAGGTGATTAGTGACATTCCGCCTCTCCTAGGTTTACGCAAACGGAATTCGAAACATTGATCTCCAGTTCATTATCCGAAGACTGGCAGCTCCTGTCATCACAGTCCTGCTGCTGTCCCTCTGTATACCCTACGTGATCGCAACTGGAGTGGTCCCTGCCGTAGGTCAGTATCCAGATGTACAGTTCATCTCTTTAGAAGCTGTTGGTGTGTCAGACCACAACGGGGAGCTTCACATTTGAAGTGATCATTACAACAGCTAAAGAAAAATAGTCCTCGTGTTTTTCTAAACACTTAACGAAGAGCACGTTCTTTTTATTCCCTCTGTTGTAGAGATTGTTATAGTGAAGGCACTGACAGGTCTCAGAGGTTTTCTGAAAATGTTGCTGTCTTTGCTATACAATTGAGTAAGATTTTTCCAATTGTTTTGCAGGTGTGACCCCAGAGATGGAGATTCTGATGCAGAGAAGGATCTACCCATTCCTGCTGATGGTGGTGTCGCTCATCGGCATCCTCTCGTTTCAGATCAGACAGTTTAAGCGCCTCTACGAACACATCAAGAATGACAAGTATGCACCTCTTAGCAGCCGTTTGCTTTGTGCTTTGTTTGTTTGGACCTCCTTTTCTGCATGTTACCGTCCCAGTGCCGTGCCAGAAGACCAGTCGTAGCTTGTGTGCTATCAGAAATGTCACCTTCTAACATCAGAGAATATTTTTGTGTACGATTTTTAACTGTCACTTTGTAACATATAAGGCTGACAACAGTGTCACAGTAACGATTTATGATTTCCTCTCCCGCAGGTACCTGGTAGGCCAGAGACTTGTCAACTACGAACGGAAATCAGGCAGAGCAAGTTCAGTGCCACCTCCAAACCCGGCTGCAGAGTAAATCTTTGTGCGTCACATCCTGTTTCCCTGTCGGAACCCTCCACATCTGTTACCCAGTCCTTTGATTTCAGCTCAGTTCTCAGCCAGTAATCCCTTTGAATCTTGTGTGGATTTTGTTGGATTTGATAGATGATGTTCAGTTTCCTTTCATGCCCATCAAAGATGGGGTTGGAAAATGTATTATAGTCCTGATGATGGAACTCTTGAGTGATATCTCAATCCAGCGGTGTGGGCAACATCTGTATCGTCATTCACGCCTTGCTTTGTAAAATGCTGCCTGATAATTGTATATGTGTAAATACTTTGAACACAGACTTTGTCTCACGAAAAAGGACAGTTGTGGAAAAATGCAATGACCATTGTACATCTTAAGTGTATGTATAATTTATTAAATCAAAATGACAGTTTCTTTGATGTGATGTGTGTTCTCAACATGGCACGGACGGCACAACTGGAAAATTTCAATGAGGCAGTAATGTGAATATCAATGCTTATTCAGGTGCAAACAACACTTATTATATATATATATATTTGGACTATTCAAAGACGATTGATGGAAATGTTTAAGGATGATTCCCCACACAAAATCTTTGGAGTCATAAGGTGTAAGGTTACAACCATACTTGGTTTAAGATTAGTACAGAACAGGTAGTGGAGTGATTGTCTCATCTTTTGGTATGAGTGGGGATGGAAGTACAATTCCAAATTCCTCTGCAAGAACATGTGGGATTTCCTCATCTGTGAGATCCCTTGTTGAGGTTTCCAGCACCCCCCCGGTGGCTTCGGATGGAAACCTGGTGGTTGTCAGCTTGCGGCCAATGTAGGTGAGCCTTCCGTAGGGTTTTAAAACCGTGCAGAGGGACTTGCAGAAGAAAATAGAAGAAGGAGAACTCTGGTGGTACTGGCACATCTCGGTAAAGTCCTCCAGGCGTCGGGGTTCAAGGGTGAACTTGTAGATCTCCGTCCAATCCCCAGCTTCGCCTCTGTTTTCCTCCTTTTGCCACTCCATAAAGTGCATCTCGGTGCTTTTTCTGATGCGATACACCCTGTGGCCCTGCTCCTGGAGGCCGCCGGTGTCCAGGGAGAGGGGGACCCTGAACCCGGGAACACCGAATCCCACGTCGCAAAGCCACCTCCGCCCCTCCAGGTGCACCATCATGATCACGTGGTCATGGGGGGGCCCGTACAGACCTGTCAGCGAGTTCTTCACCTGACCTGACAGAACGGTGACCTGGAAGCCCAGTTCCATCAGCAACCAGGAGAACAAGGAGTTATTCTCGAAGCAAAAGCCCCCACGGCGTTGGTTGACGATCTTGTGGAACAGCTCGGGGAGGCTCAGCTGGACGCGGCCGCCGCTGTGCACCGTCAGGTCCTCAAACGGAACCGAGAGCAGATGGCAGGAGTGGACAGACCTGAGCAGTTCCAGGCTGGGCTCCGCCGCGGACCCCCCAAATCCAATCCGCCGTAAATACTTCTCTACATCCATGTCTACGGAAGTCATTTTCACTGCCACGCGTCACGTTACTTTCACTTTTTCTTATGAATTTAAATCCGCAATAGAATAATCCCAACACCACACACTCAAGAGGACAAGTTTAAACTGCGTTCTACTGCAACGCTTCCACCCACACAGCTGTGAAACAGGGCTCAAACTTCAAAGTTCACGTCATAAAACGTTCCACCCTGATCATTTGGCTTAAAATTTTGACCACAACTAATTTGACCGGAGCACACCCATGAACGCTTCAGAAACCGACAGTTTCCCACATTTCTGGAGGAGTTTACTTAAAAGCTTAATTATTTTCCAGACAGACGGCGACCACGTCAACGCCACAAACACTAGACACTTCCAAAGTGACACACTGGCAACTTAAATAAATACCAATACCAGTTTCTGTGAAGCGCTGCTGCTCGACGGTCCACCCTCCGTCTCGTTTCGCTCACGTGACGTCACGTGCGGACACTCCCTTTCCCCCAGAAGAGGGGAAAAGATGGCGCCCACGCACGTCCTGAGATGCTGTCAACGGGGCTTAGCATGGATACCTGTGATATTTATCGCGCTCGTCGTCTGCTGGTCCTACTACGCTTACGTGGTGGAGCTCTGCTTATGTGAGTCGGCCTCTCGTCCTCCTCAATTGCGCCGTCGCCGCCCGCAGACGTTGTTTTCATTGTGCCGTCCACAGAGGCGTCCAGCTGCTGCTGTTGCCATCAGGAAGTCGGTGCACTACAGCCCAACAATGCTCTTGACAAGCCTGTTTGTGTCGAGACACAGCTAATTAACTGTTTTTGTTGTTTTTTTCGCCGTCGGCTTGCCTTATTTTAAAAGGTGTGGGGGGGGTATGTGTTGGCTTGAGCATAACTTTGATGTCGCTGCCGAACAAATCTGCGCCTCCCGCTTTGTGTCATGTGAAAAGAGTCTGAGGGGAGAATGGAAACGCTAGCTAAACGGTATTTGGTGGTCTGACCACATCAATACTTTCCCCCCTAAACAGACTGCTGGAACCGGTTATTAGCCGGGCACATTTGTGGACTAACGGGCTGTTTAGACCCGGTGGGGGAGGGTTTTCCTTCAAAATGACTGAAACTACTGTCTTTTTTTTTTCGGTAAATGGTGGAAATAAAATACTATTCAACGTATGAATTACATACATCTGGTGTTATTGAACTGTACTAAAAAAAGTTAATTAAACAGAAGCTCAGTTTAACTACAGAAGAAGAGTAACCCAGTCTGCACTTAAGCTCTGAAATAAATTACATAGTGCATCCCCACCCCTTAGAATATATAGCATGAGCTATGTCTGTGTTTTGTGTCCTTTTTTTCTTTCTTTTTTTTTTTTGAAGTCTTTTTTTGGTCATCTTCATTTGAAAGAAATGGAAACTTCCACACTAAATTAAGATTTGTCTGACAATTCATGTTTTTGTTTTTAGTAGAAAATTGTGTCAAATCAAAATGTGAACATGGAATCTGAATAAAACAACACAAATTGTAGGAAACCTAATATTATAACTTTTAAATCATGCCAGCTCATCATTTTGATCATGTTCTGATCTGTATTCCAGCCAATGTAATGTTGATATGTAATCCCCCCCCCCCATTCATTCCGTTTATGTTAATGCAATTTTTTTTTTTGCAGTGTAGGTGATGGGCTAACGGTATTATTTTTGTCTCTTTCTCTTTCAGTTACAATTCCCAGCATTGGAGAGCAGAGTAAGTGTCCCGAGAGCCATAAACTACATTTATTTATTCCACCCTGGTCTTGCTTAATTGTTGGTTGTTGTTGGGTTAGTCTGTTAAAATGTGCTCTGTAGAATTTAGTAAAAACAGCTAGTGCAGAAGCTATGCCTCTTCAAAATGCTGAGACTTTCCTGTTTGGAGCCCAGCAACTCCTCCATCATCGCTAGCGTCTTGCTTTCCTCTTTCATTAATTATGTAGATGTGCAGTTTCTTCCTCTAGCTTTTTTTTGCCTTAGTAACAGTAGCAGTGTTCAGCGTGATGCAAAAACCACAATGCTTATGTCCCCCCCCCCCCTCCAGTTGTCTACCTGATCTTCTTCCACCTCTCCTTCATCATGTTTGTGTGGTCTTATTGGAAGACTATCTTCACCAAGCCAGCCAACCCATCCAAAGAGGTAAAAAAAATAATAATTCTGAAACATTCTGGGTGTATCTGCATGTTTGGAATCTCCCTTTTTCTTTGCATCATCTTGATTAAAAAATGTTTTAATGCACGGGGCTCTCTCTGCTCCAGTTTTGCCTGCCAAAGGATGAAAAGGAGCGGTATGAGAAAGAGGAGAGGCCCGAGTCCCAACAGGAGATTCTGTGGCGAGCTGCCACCAGCTTGCCTCTGTACACTCGCACTGGTGCCGGAGGTACGTCTGTCACATCAGATGGTAAAGAGATTGGATTTGCCTGTGTTAGAGATATCCACTTATGACAAAAGATTGCATTTCCATGGTGCAGCAATCCGATACTGTGACCGCTGTCAGGTGATAAAGCCGGACCGGTGTCATCACTGCTCAGCCTGTGACATGTAAGAGTCCTATTTACTACCAGCCCTAAGAGTGCTTCGTGTTTTAGCTGACATATTGTTACTAAACCTCAGTCAGGTTTTTTACATTTAAGTGGGGTCTTTTCTTTTGTCTTTTAACTTGTTTCCTGTTTTTTTCTCTTCTTTCTCTCTGTCTGTGACAGGTGTGTGCTGAAGATGGACCACCACTGTCCCTGGTATGTTAGACCTACTTCCTGCTTCTGCCAAAAAATGCTCAGAATACTTTCAATTATGTGTATAAATCTCATTCTCAGACTTTAATCAACCGCAGTGGAAACGATTTTCCTTTTTAATTATTAACCAACTGATAAAAACTGGCTAGTGTTTCCTTACCAGAAGCACGAAACCTCCGCCCTCGTTTTTTCTCGAAATGTGATATCACTTGGGACTTTTTTTTTGTGTCCGCAGGGTCAACAACTGTGTAGGCTTCTCCAACTACAAGTTTTTCATCCTTTTCCTGGCCTACTCGCTGGTGTACTGCTTGTTCATTGCAGCCACGGTTCTGCAGTACTTCATAAAGTTCTGGACAGTGAGTACATGATGCAGACCTGTCTCTGCCTGTCCTAAATGTGGGTCGGCAGACGCAGACTTGGATGCATGGCGAAGCCAGGATGAGCATCCCTTCAGTTTGCTGTGCATGGTGCTGACCTCTCCTCCCCTGTGCTGCTCCTCTGTTTTCTCTGTTCCCTCTCAGCCTTCAACCTCCTGACCCCTCTCTGTTATCCAAGATTGTTACACACTGGGTCATTGTTCTCTGATCTTTCCCTCCTGTCTCCCTCTACGCTATCAGATGCTTCAATCGGACCCTCTCATGCAGTGGCAAACACTTCCTCTCCTTTTTTTGTTTTCTGTCTTTCATTTCCTCTCTTTCCTCCTCTCAAGCATTTATTCTCTGTTTTTGGCACAGTTTGGACCCTCACCCACTTTCTTTATGTCCCTTTTTTTCCCCCCCTTTGTTTTATCGATCTTGGCCTTGATTCCTCCCCTCTGCCCTCCCGCCTGTTTTCTCCTGGTGTCGCTAACCAGTCTCGTTTCTGTTTGTACTAAAGCTTTGCCGGAGGAAATCGGCAGAAAACTGCCCAAAGGTAACCCAGTCATCCTCCGAAGCCTTTAGCGTTCCCGTGCCTCTCCGTCTGTGCCATCGTAAAGTGCATGCCGTGACTTGGTTCTCATTTCTCCTACTTCTTCTCTCCCTCTCTCTTATTTCCCTTCTTTTCCATAGATATCCGAAAAGTGAATTATGATATTGATTCCTGTCTCGCTTTGCTCTTTTTTATGTCTTCCCCAGAATGAGCTGCCAGACACTCATGCCAAATTCCACGTCTTATTTCTTTTTTTTGTGGCCGCCATGTTCTGCATCAGTATTTTGTCCCTCTTCAGCTACCACCTCTGGCTCGTAGGGAAGAACAGGTCCACTATAGGTAAGAGTCAGGATAAATGTTTATGTTAATTTGTGACACTGTTTCAAACTTTCAGTTGTCAACTTTCATTTTGACATCAAAACTTCATGAATTGGTTAAAAAATGAGTAGTCACAAGTTGATTTACACAACAAAGTCAATGCTGAGATCCAATAGAGTTTAGCAATATGAGTCAGAAACAAAGGTTTCAAGTGAACACACGTGGTTTTTATTTATTCTATGTTGTATTAATGCTATTGTATGCTGTACAGATTTCGATGACATTATATTATGGCAGAAATCAAAGATCAATAAATGCTCACAATACTGTTTATATTAGAATATTAACACATTCCATGTGAATCAGTCACATTTAAAGATCATAACCATGGACTTAAGCTGTTATGCATGTTTGTTCGTTTTGTGACTATCTAATAAAAAATTAATATCAGTTTATTAGGGCTGAGATGGACGCGGTGTTTGGCGTCTGCATCACGGCGGAAGTGCAGACAGGATTTATTCCACTGTTGTCCAGCCTGCTCTGTTTTCAGCCGGTGGAATCCGTTTGTTGCCCCCCTGTTTCATTGTTTAATGACCTTCTCCCTTCCCTTGGTTTTGCTCCCACCCTTCAGAGGCATTCCGAGCACCCGTGTTCAGAACAGGCTCCGATAAGAATGGCTTCTCTCTGGGATTCCGGAAGAATATCGCTCAGGTCTTTGGAGACCAGAAAAAATACTGGCTGCTTCCCATCTTCACCAGGTAAAAAAAAAAAGAGCAACAAATATTTAGTTCAACAAATGAATTTGGCTTTACCTAAAAAAGAAATTGAAAAATAAAAAAATTGACCCAATCTTTAATTTCCTTCTCCTCCAGCCAGGGCGATGGTCTGACTTTCCCCACCCGGCTGGTCAACACTGACGCAGAGCAGGCCACTGTGACACTGCAGCCAGAGCCCAATAAAAGGTGACATTCTGGTAGTAGGGACACACACAGTTCTCAGCCACCCAGTTGGGAAAGCTGTGCTAAAGATGCTTAATCTTTACAGCGTGGCGGACGTAGCCATCCCTGTGAGCCCACTCAGTGAGTCTCAGAATCGCCTTCTCAGCAACGATCAGCATGCCAACAACATTGAAGAGCAGCTGGCTGACAACAGCTTTAGAACAGGTGAGCTTCAGTGGGAATGACACTGCATCACCAGTTTTCAGCTGGAACGGTGTGCGAAACTTAAAGAAAAGCAGGATGCAGTGATTTGAAAATCCCCTAAACAAATAACCCTTTCACAGGAGAACCCCCCCAAAAAAACACATCAGGGGTTATGAAGGTGTTTAGTATCCTCTTCTTTTAGCAACATTTGCCTTCGGAATAGGAATGCTGCTGCATTCTCTTCATATATAAGATTCTGTTTCAGTTTCGGAAACATCAGGACTGCAGACGGGTCAGCCCAGTCACCGGCTCTTCTTACTGTGAAACTTCTCTATTGAGGATTTGGCAACCCCATTTTAAAAAGAAATTATCATTTGAAAAGGAAGAATATACATCATTTTTATTTATTTATCTTCAATACATTTTGAAACTATTTCTGGAATAATAAACAAGCCTGTGCAGTGATTTCCATGACAATGTCTGTCTTAAATGCTTTTCTCCAAATGTGTACAGTAGATAAGATCATTTTCAAAATCTTACAAATTTTACATTGAAAAGCATTATTCCTAAATTTATAGTTGCTGTGTTTACCTCTGAGAGACTTTGCCTCTCTAACATGCTCTTTATACTCATTTGTGTTTGAGTCAGATTAAAATATTCTGTTTGGTTAGATTTCTCAATTTTTAGTATATGATATTTTCAAATCGGTGCATTCTGCTTTTCTGTTCAACTGCAACTTAACTATTTGTAAACAAGTTTACCTTACAAGATGTCCTGTTTGTCTGCACAGCTGAAAGTGAAACTGTTAAAATCTCCATGGAGAGTGACTCCTAACCAGGTACTCTGTCTGTGTTCAGAATTATCCCAACAAATAATTTAAATGTGTGGCCATGCAAGTTTACAATAACATTTTGTGTCTGCTGTCTGTTCTCTACCACAGGAGAAGCTCTTCAGTCATCTAATACGATGCCTTAACCAACCCAACAGATTAGCCCCCAAGTGCAAGCGCATCCACACAGACCCTAACGAGTAACTATGGAAATGCAGTCCACCGACCATCACTGCACAGTGGTGCTTTGACAGCATCTTTACAGCTTTTTACAGTTTTGCATGTCGTCTCATAAGCACACCTCACACCCAACCCCCATAAGAAATCTGACACGCGCTCGTACCCAGTCGCACACATTCTCACATTCAGCTTTAAATATAAACATTTCTTTATGCTGTGTTTCCTTCCCCCGAGTGGGAAGGTGTATGGATGAGGAAACATCTCCACAGACCCAAAGGGACTGGGAGCAACTGTCTGTGCTTTAATTAGACAAGATTCTGTGCCAAAAGCCTCCCGGGTGCACCGAGACGTATTTTACAGACACAAAGCTGCAGTGAAAAGTGTGTGTGTATGAGGGGGGGGGGCGGAGCTGGAGGCAGCGTGTTGGTTCCATTAATGCAGTGAAGTTGGATCAGTCCACTATGTGACCTGTTTGTGTGTCTTATTTTTAACTAATGATGTTGGGCTCACACCTATTTGAGATTGGATGGATTTCCACCAAAAACCTGGACTGTCTCTACAAGAACTGGACTGCATGGCTCAGTGGACTGTGCACAGCAGAGAAGACGATAGGTTTTAGGTGGCAAGCTGCATATCAGAGCACAAGATGGCGCATTTGCACTTTGTTGATTTTCAGTGTCCATCAAAAGAAAAAAAAATGTGCTGCTTTTTTTGTTTTTTTTCTGGATCATGTCCAAAAGGCATCCGTGGTTTGACAGATGTTTGATTGTGTTGTTTGATGGTTAATTCTTTGTATGTGTATGTGTGTGTTGGTATGTGTGTGTGTGCATGCACTTGCGTGGAAAGGGTGGAATGTCTATTAATGGTTGAAATGGCAGTAATTTCTTTTTCTAACAGCTAAAAGTCACTAAAAGTAGCTTTGTGTCTTTAAAGCCTACTGGTGTTTAAAGCGCTGTGCGCGGTGCCCAGCATCTCATCACCACCTCTTCTCTCAGTCTGACCAGTGATGTCAACGGCCTGTTTGCTTTTTTTTCTTTCTACAACTCAAGATTTTTCAAACTTGACCAAGACACTAACACTCATTGCCAAATAAGGGCTGGACTGTCACTGACATCTGAACCTAAAGTGTTTACAGCAACTTAGCTTTATCTCAACCTCACTGGCCAGTGTCATCCTAACCAAACTGAGTTCAGCTGCGGACGTGGGGCAATATTTTTATACATCTGTCTGTCCCTCTCAGCCTGTGGGCATCTTTGCAATACCAGCACAGGCCAGCAGGTGGCGGGAGAACTGCTTTCAAACAGCTGAGAGGTTCATTACAACTAGTTTAGGCTAAGTTCACTTTTAAATCTGCTGTTCAGTGCTCACCTTATCCCTGAATTGACATGGTCAAAGATGTATATCTTACTGTAATAAGTCATTTGGATTCACTTTCAGAAGTGAGTCGATCTCCCCCGAGCTCCGGTAGAGTAAGCTCATCACACGTTAAAAGCAGGGTTAGACAAGTGTTGAAAAAAGAGTTTGAAAACTGTTCACTTTTTAAAACGTTTTCATTTAGATTAGCAGAAAACACATTTTTAGGAAGATGTCCTATCCTTTTTCCACAGTTATCTCTCAGATCCACAGCAGAGAGAGCAGTATCGAACTCCTGATGTCTGTCCATCTTTCCTGTGATCACATCCCAAAGGAAATGGTGTCAGATGTCCACGTTTACAGCTTTTTCCTGTTGTACGCCCGCGTTGTCAGAAGTTGCTCCGAGGTCTTGTGTTTGATTGAAAATGGGGGTGGTTAAAAACCACCCGCTCGTTGGACATTTAAATATCTCCAGGTGTTTCTGTAATGGCACCGCGGTTTGAGCTTAATTGTTTACCGTTTTCCCACATTGTATTTGGACCTAAAAGTGGTGATTTCAGTTCTGTGGGGACGATCATGAAAGCAGAGGTCCTGTTCCCCTTATGTGCAGTATGTGCAGATCTTTTGTTAATCTCACAGTGAGAGACTTGGTGAAAGTGAAGGATTTTACTTTTTCATTTTTTCATTTTTTCTAATTTAAATCCTGTTGGGAACCTGGTTGGTTCCCCTCATTGCTCCATCTCCGACTGAAGCTCAGACCTTTCCCTCTTGTTTTACAGATGCCTATACTCTCTCTCCTGGCTCGAGGGCCTTGGGAATAAGTGTGCGTGTATTTTGTAAAGCTTCAGTGAGTGTTCTTTTGTAATCTTGTCGTCTTTGGAGAAATGCTTCTTTGCAGCCATGAGGTTTTTACTGGTCTGCCACCCTGCATAGCTGGCGGACTCTGGCTCAAAAGCATGATGCATAACTGATGTAAACATGTGCAGTCATTTAATGGAGATTCTGGTGTTCTACATATATTCTTTTACAAACGGTTTCAAGGTGTGTTTTCTGGTTAGCTTTACTCCGGTCTGTAATAAATGAAGCCATAAAACCTTTGGAAACAGAAGGATCTACAAATCTCAGTCTAGTTCTTTTTTTTTTTCTTCTTTCAAACCCATTAACATGTCTGACTTCACAAAGCAAGTTCCGGCCTGTCATCACTTTGCTTAGTGTTACATTTTTCGTTGTCCTCTATTGCAATGTGTTTGTGTGTGTGTGTATATATGTTGATAATGTAAGAGAAAGACAACATATTTTTCTTCTTTGGTTCATTTTAATGTCCCTATTTTGTGGATGAAGTACATGCCTTGACACAGTTAACGTGAAAATAACAATAAATGTCTTCTTTCTTTTCTTTTATAAAACTCCAGCTTGGTTTTCTCTCATGCTTTCTTGAGACAAGTTTTGAGTTGTTCTAAGCGTTTGTAATCATCCAAAGTGATCTTGAGCATTAGTCCTTGCCGGTTTGTGAAGTTCTTGAGGTTTTTCAGTGGATGTTTTTATTTTCGTTTTTTTAGTCCTGTTTGTATTTTTTCATTTTCAGAAAAGCTTTTTTTTAACAAAAAAATCTTACTCAAGGGATGAGCCCATAGTGTGTACAGGTATTAAACTCAGCGTTGTGTATTTCTTACATTTATGATATACTAGATAAGTCTTTCAACCAACTTTAGCTAAATTATTCTATTTTGCTAAAGTTAACAAATCAGATTTGACTGAAATTGTTAAAGTTTAAATATATTATTTTATACAATTTTCTTTCCTGATTTAAAACTAAAAGGACTATTTCTTCTGAAAGTCAAAGACCATTTTCTTTTTGTTGGCACGGCAAACCTGAACAGAAAATATGCAGGAAGCCTGCAGAGCTATTTCTGAAGGCTGCTCACAGAAACGAGAGAAAGCAAATATGTACAAAGCTTTCTCTTTTTTTAACATCATGAAGGAACTTCGGTTTCATTTAAGTTTTTCCATCTGAATAAAACCTGCCGCCTGTTTCTGCCTGAAGACTCATAAATCGTGTTTGGGGGGGAGGATGTAACCTCATGCTGGCAGCTTTGAATGTGTTGCTGAACTTTTTATTTTTAGATCACACTGCTTTGTTTAGATTTTGTTAACACATGGTTGTTCTCAACTTCTTGTTTACATTAAGTAAAATTTCATTAAGTAATTAATCTCAAAGTTGCTTTAAAAATAAAAAGCAACCATATCCACCTGTAACTTAACGTCATGAACTGCAAATATTAATTTTCAAGAAATTATGGGTCTGTTACACAGGGGTGGCTGTAGTCTTTTCCTAAATATTTATTTGCCAGCTTGTCTTACATAAGAGGGCGATGAGTAGTTTTTTTTTGTTTATTTGTCTTTTTTTACAGTGTTTGTTTGGTTTGTGGAAACCAGAGGCTCATTTCCCTGAATTTCCTACCTGCAAACTGCAGCTTGCAGCCCGAGATTACAAAGGTAGATTTGACTCTTTTCCTTCTTAGATGCAACAGCAAAGCAGTCATTTAGACGTGCCACGTTAAAAAAACAAAAAAAGAAGCACTATCCCTGTTAACAATCCCAGTCATCAGGCTCCAGTTACTGTAAGTCATTCTCACAAACAGTTTCTGTGAAACAGACCCAGAGTTTGAGCATCTGCATGCGATAAACTTCTTGAGTGGTGTAGTAACTGCCTCGCAGTGTGTAGCCTTGTTCTGTCAGCCAGAGACGGTGATTAAGGACAGTCAACAGAGCTCTGGCCTCAGATCAGTCAACTCTCCTCCTAGACTTGATTTCAGGAAAGCGCTTGATCAGGTGATCTCTGCTATCTGTGTGACACCGAGGCCCTTGACTTGTGCTGCTCTGTCACTCACTCTCTCCTCTCCCGATTTTATCTTTATCCTCTTCAGTAGGAAGCTTTCCTCATTTGAAAAGTTGTCTAATATGGCTGCTTGCAAAGTGGTTGAGCCTTTAAAGGCAAAACATCTGCCCCCTTTTTTAAAGTGACATCTGACATTATGAATCCCAGGTCACTGTTAACACCTCCCGCACGTGTTTTTTTTTATGACTGAAGAACGAAAGCTCCCTCCACTCAAAACTGCGTTTCCTCAAATGTTTAACAGATGTTGTGCGTTACGTGCACATGTGTTTGTACAGTACGTGTGGATCTGTGAATGTGTAAACTCAAACCTTCCCAAGGTGATGAACTCCGGGTCAGTTTTTTCAGTGAGGGAAAACAGTGATTTAAAAAAAAAAAAAAAAAGTTTGACCTCCACTCTGTCCAAGCGGCCACCGTCTCTTTAAAAAACCATGAGATGAGTTATCCATTAGAGGGACAGTGTTTGTGGATACTGACAACAGGCTCAACCAGCCAAAAGCCTTGTGCAGTCATTTATGGCAGAACATTAGAAGCAATCAGGTGATTTTTAAATTTATTTCTTTGTTTTTAAACACCTCAAACTCCCTGTTACGTGAAGATGAACTATAATCTGAATATCTGGCATCCAGATGTGAATCAGAAAACTGGTCAAATGAACCGGACTGCTGTCCTATTATTGTCAGGGAACAGCGTCTGATAACAGAGCCCTAAAATAATAATAGCCTGACTTTTTAAACTCGTCTTTACGAGTCTGTCTTTAATAAAGAGCATTTAGAATCCATTATTTCAGAAGCATCCGTCCCACTGAAATACAAGCAGGGTGTGCCCCCCATCAAGAGTCAGGAAAGGTGCTCAGACTTGAACAAAGTGATTCAACAGTCAGTAAGATCAGCAGACGTGGCTCATAAGGTGAATTTTGTAATAAAGTAAAGATAAACACACTCTTTACCATATGCGCAATGAAAAGCTCTAAGGTGTGTGCCCCTCGGCCCTCATCTGCGTAACACACATTGATACATGAATGGATGTGCTTGTTTTTTTGCCCCTCGCATATCTCACTTAATCACCCCAAGATGGGTCTGGACACGTGCAAGGATGAAGGGGATGTCATAAGAGAGCAAAGGCAGTTTACACTCGCAGAGGCCAAGGTTTGCCTGAACAAGCAGACCTGGCGGTGAATTTGAAGGATTAAAAAAAATTGTTTAAAAAACAGCTTCTTCTCTCCGACTGAAAAAAGGGAAACTCTGCAGGGTAGCAACTTTTGCATTGGTGACTCCTGCAAAACGGAGGGGGGGTGAAAAAAATAAAAACACTTTAAAAAGAAGCCAAAGGAAAATGCCTCTCGTGATGATACCTTCTGTACACGTTGCCATGGAGACCGGTGGGCATGTGAAGTGAGGGGAAGCGCTCCCCGGCGGTCCCGCAGAGTATTTTTTCAGTTTGTCATGGCTCGGTGAGCCGTGAAAACTATGGTAACTACACATTAACCGAATAAGCAGACAGCCATAAGTCTCAGCATGTTTTTTTTGTTTTTTTTAAACGGTTATTCTTGCAGAAATGGAAGCAGCTCATTGCCCCATGGCAGAAAAGAAGGCGGGTCTAATGCCCGCAGCCCCCGTTTCTCCCCCTTCCTACTCTGGGTTTTTTTTGGGGGGTGCCAGAGAGGCGCGTAGGTCCGTGTGGGAGGGCAGCGGAGCGCATTGGGCTCTGTGGACGCCGAGGGGGCAGCAACAGGGCAGCGGCACGCCAGAGACCAGCCGGCAACCAACCGGCAACCATCCGGCAACCATGAGCAACGGAACCAACCTCAGCTTCGACCCGAGCTGCAGGAGCGCGCCTCCCCACGCCGTCGACATCATCTCCCGTGAGTGCGCCCCCGAGAGAGGCACATCTTTACGCACCAGTAGATCCACCGCCTCAGCCCCCCGGAATCTGAATTAGTTTGACTGAGATCGCTCTAACATCCAAGTTGTAGAGATCTTGACACTGAATCTGTGTTGTTTTTGGTTTTATTTCTTTATTTTGTGTTCCTCAAAGTCGCTGGACTTTAATGAGGACAGAGGCGGTGGAATGTGACCTCTTTACTTTCATGATTACAGCAGTCGGAAGTTTCTTTTCTTTCTTTCTGTTCGGGTGATCTCTCTTGGTTTTTAGGTTTATTCCCCCCAGTTTGTCTCGTCCTGCTCTGTTTGCTGCTCACCACCTGCTCCCTGTGTCTTATTACCTGACCGGCACTTTTCACCTTGTCTCTCAGTTGCCCCTTGCTGCCCCTATATAATCTTTTGTTTGTTTCTTGGACTTTTAGTTTCCCCATTTAATGCATCCTGCCTGAATTGAAGCATTAATCATTACATCTAAGAACTTCAGGAGTCAGCTTCTTTATTTTCAGGCCTTTCCTGTGACTAAAGTTATGGGTAATGATTTGTAAAAAAGGGAAAGACGTAAGTTCTCTCTGTGATGTAAAACCTAGGAGTTGCTCATGGTGATTTAGATGAACGTGGGCTATGGATACAGAAACATTATTAAGTTACAGTGACTGTATGTGATTAGTTCATTGTCAATCAATCGTCAGTTTAGAAATGCTAATGAAAACACTTCACCCCTAAAATCTTATGCAATCCGGTTTGCTTCATCAAACATAACGGAATGCGACTTAAGTCTCAATCCATCTCTGAAAGCAGAACGTTAAGTGACCTGATCACTGGATGCACACATGCATAAGTGCACAAATCCAAGTCATCTCGAGGCCTTTTTAAAATGTCTCACACAGGTATGAAGAAATCAATTCTTCCTGTATAAACAGGGTCCAGCAGGAATTTAGAATATCCTGCTTTAAATCAATATGTCCAGGATTAATTTAAAGTTTTTACTTGTGTCATTGAGGATTTCACAAATTGCCACTGACAAACACGCAACTTAGATTAAAATAACATATTTTGGTCCCTTTGTTCCACTTCCAACTCCCTTCCCCTGTGTTTAGAATCAGATGTGTAAACCAGCTGAGTTATAAATGATAAGAGTTCATTTTTCGTACAATGTTATTATTTAATCACTGAAATCTCAGCATGAATGTGTGCCTTAAAGATCCTGGATTGGTTTTATTGTGCTTGGAAGGAAAAATAGAATTGTGCCTGTTGGAACAAGTTGCTCTGTGTGGCCTGTTCACAAAACAGACAAAAAACAGTATGTTTACCGCCAAAGAATTTAACGGAATTTAATGGACAGGCTATTACAGGTCTGATTTAGACTGGCTCAGTCTGTGAGTGAGTGGATACAAACAACAAACAGACACAGTAGACCACCTGAGGAGAGGAACACATGTCGGTGCGCTTTCATTCTGACTACCACAAATGACTTTAGATACCAGAGAATAAATGACGCAGCTCAAATGGAATAGTACCAATTCTGGAGAGCATACTGAAATCATTTCCGGCTTTTCCTTCCATCCTTTGTTTGCTGTTTGAATTCACATCACATTTTCCCTTTCTTTGGAACATCTGTTTGAGTAATTGACTCGTAAACATGCAGGTCATCTGATGACAACCTGTTGGGTTGTTTCTGGAAATGGCCGCTCCTGCTTGAGGTGTAAAAAAAAACTGTTGCAAAAACAACTGCAGCGTTTCCTCTAATAGTCATCATCAATCATCAAACTTCCGCGAACCGTTCGTAACGCATGACGCGCACATCTGTCTGGTCTAAATCGTTTTAAAGATGGGATCATACTTTCTGGACCTTGAGAGCGGTGCTCTGGTTTTGTTTAATTTCCTTTCCCTCCTTTCAGAGCTGGACATCTTCGGCATCATTCTGTACTCCACCCTCACCTTCATGGCTGCGGTTTCCATGTTGGTCTTCATAGAGGAATGTGTATACATCTATAAGAAAGTACCAGCCAATAAGAAGAGTGTGATCATCTGGGTGAACGGGGCGGCTCCGGTAAGGATAACGGGTAACAGATTCAGAGTGCAATGTTACACCAGCAGGGACCAAAAAGAAAGAAAAAAACATATTTGTGTTAAATATATTCATCCGCACTATGATTTTGTTCTCCGCTCTTTTCTTTTTTTTAGGTGATTAGCACCATGTCATGTCTAGGACTGTGGATCCCCAAAGCCATCATGTTTACTGATATGACCTCCGCCTGGTAGGTTTTTCTGTGCTTGGCTTTGTATCCCTCACTGTACTGTCCATGTGTTGTTTTTATTTTTGTTTTTTTACCCGTCTAACCCTGAAAAGAAGGATCATGGGGAATACGGAACCTCCCAGCCTTCACAGTGTCAGATAGATACAGTATTACTGATCCTGACTCTCTCGACTTGTGTCTGGTGTGTCCGTAGCTACTTTGCCGTCGTGGTCTTTAAGTTCCTGGTCATGATGCTGGAGGAGGTGGGTGGGGACGAAGCCTTCCTGAGGAGGGCGGGCAAACACAAGCTGAGGATCAGCACGGGGCCCTGCTGCTGCTGCTGCCCCTGCCTCCCACATGTGGCCATCACACGGTAAACGGCCCCGCTATATATCTGCGGCTATCGCCAGCAGCTCCGCAGGTTGGCTTTTTAATGGGCACAACTGGCTTTGAACAATGAGTGGCCTCTGGGAACGGTTACTTACAGTGTTCCATTAGTTTGGTTAAAAAAAAAAAGGAGTGTGTTGTTGTCAAGTAACCTCCCTCAGTTGTACATGTGCATTCACTATCACAAAGGCCATAACAAGGGTTGGAAAGAAGAAATAACTAAATAATTTAATTTAATTTTCAAAAGGATGCAAATTTAGAGAGCTGCTTTGTCTCAAAGTTGAACACTTCTGAGCCACAGATGATCTCATATTTGGCTTTGGCTGGAATATTTTCCCATATGATGAAGCACAGATGCTTTGCTGCGTCCATGGCTTACACAACCACCACAGATAGTTTTTATGTTGTTTTTTTAAGTCTGTTTGAACATAACCAGCGAGCCAGTGTGCGTTCAGTTTTCTCTGAACGCAGGTTGAACACACTCCAGGTCATTTAACTCCGTCAGAGCAGGGCAACGTGCATGCGACAGTCCCATCGTGCCCCTTCATGGCCGAGGGGAAAACCGAGCGCTCCCTTTTCTATGCGTCAAAGTTCAACAATCTCACGGTCACATTGGGGTTTTTTTTGTTGTTGTTTTTTTTCTTTCATTCTTTTTGGGATATTCATTTTGTAGCATTTAACCAAAGTTTGTTTTGTAGCATTCATCCAGAGTTTGTTGATGTGCAACAACAAACAGATGCTGTTCTCTCAGTACACACATACATACAGAAAATCCTTTTAAAAACTTTCACTCTGAACATGCTTTGCTGACGATAATCAGGCCGAGACGTGCTCAGATACTTTTCGCATGATCGGTTTATAAGAAATCATAATGTCCCCTCATGAGAACCACCGGTGCTGCTGGGATTACACAATCACATTCAAATCTTGACTTGCCTAAACCCTTATGAAGATGCATCGTTTGGCTTTGAATCGTGCAAAACATTCTGCAATTTAAATCCAGGAAGCGTTGAAGACTTTTTAATTTTTTTTAAGACGCTTTTAGACAGTATTTTCTGCAATTCAAAGAAACCACAAAGTTGCTTCCTCTGTTCCAAACCCCAGGCGCAGTCTCTTCCTGCTCAAGCTCGGCTCCTTTCAGTTTGCCCTCATGAAGATTGTCTTCACCATCCTCTCCATTGTCCTCTGGACCAATGGCAACTTTGACCTGAGTGACGTGAGTTGGAACCTTGGAAAAACTTAATGGCGCCTCTCTATTTATTGGTTTCCTGAAGTTTTGCTTGTAAAGTTTGTTTGTATTTTTAGATTTTGTAAATGAACAATGACACAAAAAATTACAGTAAGTTACAGTGCAGACATTCCCTTGATGGTATTTGCCTTCTTTGTAGTTGTTCCGTGTCTGTTTTTCAACGGATAAACAACATGTTTTCATATACTTACCATCATGTCCCCTTTTACGAATCTTTTATAAAGATGTCTACCCCTATTTATATTTTGTTCAGTGAACCCAGGGGCTTCTTGTGCGCATCCAGTTTACGTACCAATGTGCACAAAAATAGCCTCACAGAGCCAAAATGATTTCAGTTTTACGCCCAATCCCAGTTCCCCGTCTTGACCTTGACCCTCGTTTCTAGTTTATAGAGAGGCAAATGGAAGCCGTTCCAGGAAGTCGTTATCATCCTGCTATTTAAACGGTATATTAGGGGCAAATTGAAAGTCTAGGTCACCAGTACTTTTCCCCTTCCACGACAAAGGGGCTCAGACTCAACTTTAAGAATGAATTTAAGTTAAAGTAAAACCAAGCTTTAATGTTAACATGTTACTCCGTGGCCTTGTGTGTATTACCCGAGACAACTTTTTGCTGATATTTCTTTGTTTTTTACCTCACTTAAGAGGATGTAAAGGTACGTCATATTGTAACTTTGATATTATTACTTTGATAAAAGTAAAATGTACAAGCTCCCGTTGTGTTAAAATCAGATCCTCTGCTAAATGGTATTTATGGCAATCATTTATGGACTGAGATTATTTTAGAGGCAGCTTGTGCAAAGAAACACTCTCCCGAAGTCAAGTTTCAGGGCCTGTGCTAACCAAAGAAACCCACAGAGCAAGCAGGAATACAATGTAATGGCTAATAATTGTCTATTTTTACAAAACACTTCCTGGGTGATTTTATATGTTCTTATATACATCATTCATAATTTTTCTTGTCACCTAATGTGAATCCATTATAGATGGAAATTACTGGAGCTGCAATATGGATCAACCCATTTGTGGGCATCTTGACAATCATTGCTCTGTGGCCCGTGGCCATCACGTTCATGCACCTGAGGACTACACTACGAACGCTGAAGATCATTCCCAAGTATGCCATGTATCAGGTAAGAGCCACGCCTCGGCATCGCTGCTCACACCACCAACATGGAAAACACTTTTTTTACCCCAGCAATGAAATCATTTCATTTCCCTCCATTTCGCTTTTGCTTCTTTAAATGGATGTTTCCAACCCTATGTGAGTCTGGGTTAATGGCATGCCTGTGTGTTTGTGTTTGTGTTGGCAGTTGGTGCTGATCCTGAGTCAACTGCAGTCCGCTATCATCAACATCTTGGCCTTGGCCGGAACCATTGCCTGCGCTCCACCCTTCTCCTCCGCAGTCAGAGGATACAGTGAGTCAACAAACACTCATCCGTTCATCTGTGTGATTGTCTGTCAAAAGGAAGTCGGAGTGAATAGGTCCAGGTATCCGTGGATTAGTTCACCAGGGGGCGACCCGCCCTGAACTCTCCTCTAGTTTCATCTCCTCCGGTGACACCTCCGTTACTTTCTGCTGTCTGCCTCCACAGTGCTGAGTCAGCAGCTGCTGATCCTGGAAATGTTCATCATCAAACTGGTCACCCGGCTGCTGTATCGGCGGCAGTATGATCCTTTACCCAAAGATGAACAAGACGACAATGAAAACTGCAAGATGGTTATATTACCAACCTCTGTATGAGAGGCTGATTTGCGTATGTGTGAGTGTGTGTGAGTGTTTGTGAATGCGCGCAAGTTTTTTTTCTTCTGTTTTTTTGAGAGTGTCCGTCTAAAATTTCCGGCTGGTATTTGATTAAGACATTGTATAGATGGATAGAAATTATATGTAAATGAAGCTAGTAGTTGTAAACTGAGGTGTGTTGCAAATCCACCAGGAATGTTTGACTGATAACACACTCATTTTATTTTCCCCACATGATTTTTAAGGAGAACAAAGAGGGAAAAGGAAATCCCAGACACGCGGTTTGAATAAGACCAGTTTTGCATATCTCTCCTCAGGGAGGTTTTTTATTATGGATACCAAATCTAGCTCTTTTCATCTAGTAGCGTTCAAAGCTGTGATAAATGTAGGGATGCTCTTTATATTTCAATGTGATCACTTAAAGAAAAAAAAATGGCAGCAGCAACATAGACTGAATTTGCATCATGTGTGAGTTTGCCAGGCCATTTACTTCTTTATTGGCCCTGTAATAAACCAGCAGCCTGTCCAGGGCGTACACTGTCCTCCCTAAACAGCCCACAGGATTGCTAGTTTTAAAGAGGTTTCTTTCTTTTGTTTTTTACCATATACAGTAGAATTACACATTTTTTCCTCATTCCCGGGCTGTGCCTTCTTATTCCTACTTAATTCTTACCAAAACAGAGTGAGAACAGACCTGCTGTCTGTGACGTGTCTTACATCACAAACCTGTTGAGAACCACATAATGCACACTAAACATAGCATACGTCACATTGTGAATGTTCATTTGTACACATATGTCTTTCTACAGGTTTTTATTTGTGTTTTTCTTGTTTTTTCTTTTCATTCTTGTTGAACCTGCACACAACAACAGCAATAGCTGGTGCTTTTGGCCCCTTTTAAAATCATAAATCTACCCAGGTAAATAAGGGTCTTATATGTTTCTACCTGTTCATTCATGAGGTATTTATGATGAGAGAATCAAAGAAAATTTTTAGAACGAATACCTATATACATTATCACATGCCCAAAAAACTAAACTAAACAAAGGGAATTATTCTGTATTATTACAGTAAAACTGTTTAAAACATTACATATTGCATCAATATTCCTGTAATATTGTTTTTTTCTTATTCACGATGACTGAAACACTAATTATAGAAACCCCAACTTTATTTGCATCTATATGCAGGCTTTACCACTTCCTTTTTTATATTAGTTATATAGTTGTGAGACACATCCTGACAAACTCTGTTACAGAATTTTGTGTTTACAAACCTGAATTTATTTAATTAAAAAAACGTTGTAATCTGACAACTGTCTTGCTAACTGTAGTTCTTCTTAATTGTTTGTTTTTTCTACTGTTTTAATTTCAACCTGCTTTGTCTAAACGGAATATTACAGCCTCCTGCCGCTAGATAGAGCTATAGATTTAATCCTAGTTGGAAGCCGGTGACTATGAGGCTCTCTGATTATCTCATTTTTACTGTTGGTAAAACGGTTGTAAACTCTAATTTCTCGATAAAATCTGTAACTAAAAAAGATAAAATATTTTTTAAATCATCTTAGTGCTCATCGTAAACGATGCGACAGTGGTGACGTTGACTGACAGGCGTCTGACCAATCAGGTGCCCGCTGTGGGCCACTTCCCAGATTTAAGCCAATCACCGCAGCGCTCCAAAGCGCCTTCGCCAAGTGCGGTTGAGCCGGGCAATTCTCAACTACGTGCTGTTGAAAACATCGCCACCGGGGCGGATGCGGCCAGTTCGAACCTTCAAAACTAAATGTCAGCGTGGGACTGATACAAGGTAGCTCCGTGTTTCCCCTCAGCCCTCCTCCCGGGCTCTGGAAACGCTGACGTACTGACGTACTCATCTGAATCAGGTGTGCCTGAGCTGTGAAACGAGCTGTGCCTTCGAGGTTCCAAGCAGGGCTTAGTGGCAGTTCCTTCAGGCAGGTGAAGGATTGTTGGTGCAAGGGGCTTCAATCAATCAGAGAAAATAAACATAAACATTTTAAATTTGATTTTAAATTGAACCAACATGCATTTGACTAATGAAGCCAGTCGTTTAATATATGAGGAATTCACAGATACTTCTATGTATGTCACCGGTTACACATCTTACTATATATTCCTCAAAAAAGCAGATGAATTGACACAATGCACAGTTTTACTTTCTCAGAAAGAAATCTGGAGCAGCCACAGTTTGCCTATTAATATTTTTGTTTTGAACATGGGTAAATGCACCAAAAGCTAAGAATCCAAAAGATTAAAAGTGGAACAAACGAGGAGACAGGGGGTGGTGGCAACAATTGACCAGTCAGGGTTTTTTTTTAAGAAAGAAAGAAATAAAGAGCTCGTGTTCCGTCCTATCAGGTCGTATTTAGGGTCTAATTATGCTAGGTTTACGACAAAAAGTGACAAAATTGTATATACCATAAAGTTATCACATGAAAATCTGAACAGTCCTAATGTCAGTACAACAGTATTTATCTTCACTATTTCCCTGCTTAACACTAAGAAACTGATATTTTCCAATAATTTATTGATTCAATTCTGTCGCTTGGAGAGCCTGAAAATAATGTTATTTTGAAACGTCGAACCGGAAATGCATAGACTCACCCCTCCGTCTTTATATCGGTGAGCTGGTCTGATTGTCTAGATATGTAGACCCAGGAAGCCGTCCTGGGGATCCGACCGCGTCCTTTTTCTTGCTGTCTCATGGACGTTTTTAAGCCGTCGCGTGGTTTCGTGTCCGCTGGAAATGTGGACGCCGATGAGAGAGAAGCAGCGTCCGCCCGTCTGTCCGAGCTGCGTCCACTGACCCCCCGCGTCCCCTCCAGACACCAGCATCATTAAACTTTCAGCAAAATGAGGATCTTCCTGTCTCTCCTGAAAAACGCCCACCCCAAAATCGAGTACTACTCCAGGTTCTCTCCCTCCCCGCTCTCCATCAAGCAGTTTTTGGATTTTGGTGAGTAGTGTCCACCTCCGAGGATGACCTGTCGTTAAGGAAATAAAGCAGGGGGGGGGGGGGTTCTTAGTGGTTCCACCTCCCAAACCCTGGATCGGTATTAATAGAAAAGGTGCTTCTCGTGCTGAGGGGAAACCTTATACTGAGCAGATGATCAGATGTGACATTTCCATGGACCCCACTCGGGCTGGTGGCCCTGCACGGTGGCTCTCAGATGCGCGTGTTTGTTGTGTGAACACACACACGCTATCAGGTGTTTCCACCCGGACAGTGAACCGGCAGGTACAGCCTGCAGAGGGGGGCCTGAACACTGAACACATCATCCTCTGGGGCTGTTTGCTCTCAGCCTGTTTTTTAAGATGAGATAAGTAGAGCCTCTGACTCATTCTAAGGACACAGCAAAAGATAAAAAGAAGGAAAAGAAAAGAGCTTAGACCTGCCTATGAGACTCAAAGGGGTGGTGGGGGGTGGGGGGTTGAGGCTTCTTCATCGGGTCTTGCTGCACTCAGAGCTTTTCCTAATCCTTCTGTGCTTGAACAGTCATGTCTGTTATGTAATGTGTTGTCACAGCTGTGGGTTGGATGTGAGCAACAGGAAGTGTGCCGCAGCCGACTTGCTGAACAAAGCAGGAGCTTTTCAAGTGGGCCGAGTGTCTGGCCGGAGGACGCCGGGGGGATGAAGGGTCATCTGAGGACAGTGGGCTCAGGCCTTTTTCCCCTCAGGGCATTTATGAGGTCCCTGGGTTTACTCTGTGGTGTCTCCCACCTGTTATTTTGCACAGAAAGCCCTTCCACATTACTGCTGACGCGTTCTTTTTGAGGTGATCCCTGCCTTCCTGTCGGGCCGTGTAGTTTAGAACTTCCTCTCCTGGTTGAGTGTCTGCAGGTCTCTGGCCTGGCAGCGTGGAGCCTGCTGCTTTCTCTAAAAGCTGGAGCCGCCTGAACGCAGCACGCAGCGCCGGCCCCCGGCCGTAAAACTACAGTAGAGTCAGAGGTCGCATGTAGTCGTAAAAGATATTTCACCACAGTCAATCTTTTCCTCCGCCTCACCTCTGGCTGACTCTGGATTTATGATATGCGTGGTGTAGTTTGCATAAACTTTAGCTGGCAGACGGGAGGCACAACTGCTGACACAGAGCAACATTTAGATGTGATGAGGGCCGGGAAAAGAAGCCAGCGCTGCGGGTCGACAGTTCTGCTGTGATCATTTATCTGAAAAAAGAAAAGTTTCATGATTTTTTAAAACTTATTTTCTTTGTTTTCACACGAAAATGCAACAGAACTGATATTTTAGGTCATTTTCAGACCCCGTTCTCAGGTTAATGTATGTTCATTTGTTTAAAATAATTATTAACAGGATTGTGAAAGTGTCAGCATGTACTCTCATGGTTAAATTATACCCCAAGCTTTTATTGTTTTAATATTTGAAAGTCCATTTGCTTTTGGGCCTTGTGTCCTAAAGGCTGTTCTTTCCTTGGGTCCAAAAGGAGAGCTTTTTTTCCCTTGTTCTTTTTTTTGCTTTGGAACCATCTTAACTCTCTAACTTCCTGGATAAGAGCTTGTTTGAATTGTCTAAATGCAAAGAAAACAAAGCCAAGGGCCATCAGATCCTTAGGATACACAGAACTTTTCTTTGACTGTGGAGTCTTTGCATTTCATTCATGTACGTTTACATAAAACAGAACAAATTGTAGGAATGTGGGGACTGATACGACCTCGCAAAAGATCAAATCCTAACAGAGATTTAACGTTCTCCCCTCAGGCAGGGAGAATGCCTGTGAGAAAACCTCCTACATGTTCCTGCGGAAGGAGCTGCCGGTGCGGCTGGCCAACACCATGCGGGAGGTCAACCTGCTGCCCGATAACCTGCTCAGCCAGCCGTCCATCAGGCTGGTCCAGAAATGGTGAGCAGCTTGTTTTTTGGTTTTTTCCTCTGGCAGAACGTCTGCCGCCGTGGCGTCGCCCAGGTGTTTGAAACCTGTCTGTTTGCTCTCTCAGGTACATGCAGAGCTTCGTGGAGCTGCTGGATTATGAGAGCAGAAAGCCGGAGGACCCTCACACGCTAAACGAGTGAGCCAATGTTGACTTAATGATAAAAACTTAATGAAAGTGCAATAAGCCCGGCCGAGGCTCCAGAAGAGGCGGTGGAAGGGCTCCCCTCGGCCCGCCCCTAATCCTCTTTAGCGGTTCATCTCCCTCTCTCTTATGCTGTCCTTACCCTGTCTATCTGCAGGAAACTCCTTAAGACCAACATCTGTAAAGAGAACCTCCTATCCTAACTCTTCTCCAATATGTTTTATTGAATTTTTTCTTTTTTAACACAACAAACTTAACATTGTAACATGTGCTTTTACACACTTACTTTCAAACCTGCATTTATTTAGTTCCAAATATATACAAAACCATTTAGATTAAGACAGAGGAAAATAACAAGGCAATATATGAACAGAAATTGTGGTCAAGACAACCATTAATAAGCTCCTCCTTAAGTCCCTATCATCCACATATATGGCTCCCATAGCTTATCAAAGTCCTGTTGTTTACCCTTGGAAATGTATGTTAGTTTTTCCAGTCCGAGTGAATTTGCTATTTTTTTCTTCCAGTGTCTCATGGAGGGGGCTTCCATGCCCCTCCAGCATAATGGAATAGATATTCTGGCTTCAAGCAGTCTGTGATCTATCAATGTAGTCTTCATCTCTGATTGTTTACATTTTCCTTTCCTAACTCTTACCCACACCTCTATATTCCCTCGACTCTGTGCTTTCCTCTTTCTCTTTCCTGTCACCACTGACTCTGACTAGGGATTTTCCTCTAGAGAGTTTATTGTCAGATTATTGATAATTGTACCATTGTGTCTGCTTTGTAAGTCGCTTTGGCTAAAAGCGTCTGCTAAATGCAGAAACATAAACATAAAGCTCCCCTCATTTCCTTTCCCCTTTGTGCATTTGTTTCCCGGCAGTTTCCTGGAGTTATTGATCGAGATCCGCAACCGCCACAACGACGTGGTGCCCACCATGGCTCAGGGCGTGGTGGAATACAAGGAGAAGTTCGGCTTCGACCCCTTCATCAGCAGCAACATCCAGTACTTCCTCGACCGCTTTTACACCAACCGCATCTCTTTCCGCATGCTCATCAACCAGCACAGTGAGTCGGCCATCTTCTAACCTGGCTCTCATCTGTCCACCCCGTTTTTAAAAATGTTTAAATTATTATTTTTTGTCCGTGTTTGCGGTCAGCCCTCCTGTTTGGCAACGACACCAACCCGGCCCACCCCAAACACATCGGCAGCATCGACCCCAGCTGCAGCGTGGCCGAGGTCGTCAGCGGTGAGTCCGGGACCCAAAATGACCACGCCTTTCCCCCGTCATTCCCCCCTGTTTCGGAGGTCCCCTTCCCGATTGTGTGAAACGGCCGTGATCCGGGTGATCTGTACGATGATCAGACGCTTCGGCTCATTTCTATTTAAAAGTCCATTATACGTTTGCTTTTGGGCCTTGTGTCCTAAAGGCTGTTCATTCCTTGGGTCCAAAAGGAGAGCTTTGTTTTGTTTTGTTTTTTTTGCTTTGGAACCATCTTAACTCTCTAACTTCCTTGATAAGAGCTTATTTAAATTGTCTGAATGCAAAGAAAGAGAAGCCAAGGGCCATCAGACCCTTAGCGTTTGCTCTCAAGGCTAATGGGCAGAATCATTGTTTCCGCCTCCTCCTCCTCTTCCTCCGGAGCTCTGTCTTTTGTCTTCCAAGAATAGTGCATCCAGCGATAGATACATCTCGTTTAGAAGGATTGCACATTTACGAGGACATGTTACATTCATATTTCCACCTTCAACAATCTCTGAATAGCGCAATAGAACGTCGGCCCACTCTGCTCAGTTAGTTTGAACCCACGTCTCACAGGAGAAGTATCAGGGCTTGTAAAATCTTTTTTTCCCTCTCTCTCTCTTTTTTTTACCCCCACCTATACTGAGGCTTTTTCCGTAGTTTTCCATGACGTGGGGCTCAGGGCAACACGAGGCCGGCTGTAGGAACTCTGCCTGTGCTGCTGGAGGTAGTTTACAGTTGATTCCGAGGGATTGTTCAGGATCATTATCCTTAAACTGTTCCACACGCTTTGACGGATGTTTTTGGCCTTCTCCCTTCTTTTCCCGCTCGCCTCTAATGAGCGGCCTCTTGGCGCTTGGCTGTCTTTCCCAGGCCGGGGAATGAACCAGCACCCCTTAGATTCCACCGTGCACACATAAGGGGTCAAAAGGGGCCCTCTCTGTAAGCCGTAAAGGAGCCCAGGCTTCGTGAGCGGCCTCTAACTGGAAGATAAACCCAAACGGTGGAGATTTATGTTTTCCTCTCCTCCCCCTTCAGATGCCTACGACACTGCGAAGATGCTGTGCGAGAAGTACTACTTAGCCTCTCCCGAGCTCAAGATCGAGGAGTTCAACAGTGAGTTTTTTGTTTTTTTGGCGCAGCGGCGGCAGTGAAGCCACGTGTCCCGCTTCTCTCCCTCTTTAGAGCTTGTGGGTACAGCTCTGGACTCCAAACACAGCCCTGTGACCACACGTTACCATCTCATTAACTTCCACAGAAGCGTTTTGTGCTGTAATTGTCTGCGTGTGGGAGTCTTTTTAAGGCGCTGTGCGTTTGTCGCCCTGCAGTGAAGGCTCCTCAGAAGCCCATCCAGGCCGTGTACGTGCCCTCCCATCTGTTCCACATGCTGTTCGAGCTGTTCAAGGTGAGCAAGCCAGCGCTTCCAGGCCTCCGTAAGGACCCCGCCGGAGCCTGACGCAGGAACTCTGTTTGCAGAACTCAATGAGGGCGACGGTGGAGCTCCACGAGGACAGCAAAGAGGGGTTACCGCCCGTGAAGGCCAGAGTCACGCTGGGCAAAGAGGATCTCTCAATAAAGGTAGTTTTAGTTATAAGGGAAGCCTTAGAACAAAGCTATTAACTGAAGTTACATTTAGAGATTAGTAAGAAGTAAATCAAATGAATAGATTTACACACATAGGATCAAAACCCACAAAATTCAGGCGTATGAGATTGAAATGTAAAGCTTAGGTATGTTGTTTGAAAACTTGATCTCATTCGATTAACCAAGAATAATATATTTCTAAGTGCATGTACTCATGTCAGTCAAGCCTCTGTATATAAAAATGACTGACTGAGAAATTAACTTTTATTTCCTAGGACCACTAATCTAATTGGTTTCTTTGCCACCTGACAGCAGATATATTTTTTGTTGTGAGCTTTGTTGTTTGAGTTTTTTCTTTCCTTCTTTTTTTTACCTTCCTCATCCATCTTCAGATCAGTGATAGAGGAGGAGGAGTCGCTCTGAGGAAGATCGACCGTCTGTTTAACTACATGTACTCCACTGCCCCGACGCCGAGCCTGGAGCCAGGCGCCGTCCCACTGGTACACGCCCCTCACAAAAAGAAATGTTTCAGCCCATTAATATTTAATGAAAGTGCCAGATATTTGATTAGCTAACAGCTCTTTTCTTTGCGTTGCAGGCTGGTTTTGGCTACGGCCTGCCCATCTCGCGGCTTTATGCTCGCTACTTCCAGGGCGACCTGAAGCTCTACTCCATGGAGGGAGTGGGCACCGATGCTGTAATCTACTTGAAGGTAAAATAAGTCTGCACAAAGCTTAGAAGACTGTTTTGGCGTTTTCTGTAATATTCAGTCACCGTTTGCCAAAAGTTGTCAGATAAGCAGCTACCCCCATATCCATCTGTGAAGTGATATATATTTAGGAGATCATTAGCTCAGCACGAATTTAGGTGGGTGGGAAGCAATTCTGGCTTTGTTGCAAGTGTGTTGTTAAGTTTGTTAAGTTTGACAGCCAAAAGCATTAGGAGGCTACTTTTGTGTAGATTTATGGGCCACAGACTGCAGGTAAAAGTTAGACATTGCCACAAAGTATGTTGAGGCATCCACATTTATTCAGGTGAAAGGTTGAGGTGTTTTCATGCCAGCTGTTTCCACTTAGCTAATGCTAAGCTAATTGTCGTGTTATAAAGATAGTCACGGTTCCCTTTCAGGCAGGCGACTGGCTGTACTCATTGGTTCTCGTGTTTTTTCTTTCCCGACTGTAAAGGCTCTGTCCAGCGAGTCCTTTGAGCGTCTGCCTGTCTTCAACAAGTCGGCGTGGCGGCATTACAAAACCAGCGCGGAGGCGGACGACTGGAGCAACCCCAGCAAGGAGCCCCGCGATGCCAGCAAGTCCATTTTCAAAGCCAACAGATAGTTCTGCCCGGCCTGCTAGCACAGCCCTGTGCCGGGGGCCCCAGCGCCCGCCGCGTCCGTCCTGCGCTGAGCATGCACGCTGAAGCGTTGCCCTTGGGTGAAGGCTCTGTTTAGAATCGGACTGGCTTCCACATTCCACTAGTCGATTTATTGAGGCGGGGTTACCCCGGATTTCGCTTTGTACCCAATGGCAATAACCGTCATCAGCGTAGCTTTCAGTGTCGTGGCTCAAAATTGAAAAAAATGATGCCCCCTCCTCTCTGGATTGTAGCTCCTCCGTGTCTGATCCCATTTTCTAAATGACCAGTTTTGGGAGGGGGGTTTCGGTAAATCTTGAGACGTGTAAACATGATCCTCTCAAGCTAAATCCCCGCACTGCTGCTATCTCTCTCTCGGTTTTGTACTGTTCGGCTTGCCTCAGCTTTGCTGACCGGGGGCTGAATAAGGCCGTGCCCTGCTGATTGAATCTTTTCCTCGCCATCAGTGAAAGCCTGTATTTGTTTTTTTCCCTCTCAAAACACGGGCAGAATCTGGGGGTTAGAGTTTCAGAGTTTTATTTTCCTCCTTTGAGAGGAACCTCCGATCGAACGCACAATTGGACCAGAGACTTTGGTTACCCCCCCAACCCCCACACCTTTCTTTTTGTCAGGGAAAATGGAAAAGGAAAAACATTATTTATTGACGAGTCAGCATTTATTATTGTTCTGTCAGTGAGAGAAGACCTAAAGTATATTTGTTTTAAAAGAAAAACGATCCGTTTCAACGGATCTAGTGGGCCTTAAAAAGCATTCATAAAGGGACGGCATTCAAATGAAAGTGGTAAGAATATTTTTTTTATATTTAACTTATTTAGCTTTACTCGCTGAGTCATAGAGCGTTGATGGTACTGACCTTTAACAGACATGTCTGCTCGCCGTTCCGCTCCATGTCCTGATTTAGCAGCTGCTGACGGAGCAAAAGAGCATTTATGATATGCTTGTGAAATACCACCATTCCAGAATTTGTCTGGTGAGTAGCTACGACCACACCAGCAAGATGTATTGCACAAATCCTTATAGGAACGGAAGTTTGCCTCGAGCAAAAGAAACTGCTCTACATCTCTTCACGCCACTCTTCCAGCGTGTTACCGTGGGCTTGCCGTGGTGGGCAAACGGCATGCTGACCGCTTGGACCTGTTGTCCTAACTCTGCTTTTGGCTTCATCCAATCAGCTGTGTGTCTAATTTGTTGTAAAAATGGATTTTTAACCGAATGAGTTTGAACAAAACCTGTGTACTTTACGGATGCACTTGTGTTGTTTTTTTTCCCACAGTCGAGGAACTGATACTCCGCCGGCTTTTAAATTGCTGATAATGACATTTAATGACGTTTTAATGGTTATTTGTAACTTTGCAGACTGTCTGCTCCCACCCCCCCTTATTTATACAGGAAGTAGAGCGGCCCACAAATCTGTTGTCTCCATAAAACCTGGCAGAGGAAATTGTGGTCAAAGAAACTAAGCACCAAATGTAAACGCTAAAAGACAACTGGCCACTAAAATATTTCATTAAACCATTCAGTTTTGATCATATTCAGGGGGGACTTTAGTGCACTTTACTTACCTTGAACTTATATTTCTACTTAAAAGCATTTTCATACAATGATTTCCGAGCTCCATTAAGAATTCAAGTATACGCTCCTAAAAAAAAAAAGGCCAAACTTTGGTTGTGTGTAGCCTAAACCCATATGTAAAAAAACACATGAAGGAGCGTGTCATTGGTCTGAAGTGATTTCCTTTTCTCATCTTCTTTAGCTACCATCTGATGTGAAATGAAAGAAGAATTTGCTTCAGTTTGAAAGCTCCCTTATCCCATGGTGTGCATTTCAGCCTCTCTAAGATTTCACCACTGCCAATGCCTTTGAAACCTGCCAGTCTCCCTACTCGGTGACACGTTTGCTGTAAAGGAATTGCTGTGTCATAGAATAGAAGTAGATGTGTGGTCTCCCCATAGACCTGTCCTAAAGCTTACATCGCGATCAAAACGGCAGAGGATCTTCCAAGCTCACAGAACTCGCTAACCTTTATGTCAAAGACTATATTTAGGTTATTTCAGAGAAGATTACATATATATTCGAACATGTATTTGCTGTATTTACAGTGTGGAGTGATCACTGTGTTTTCCATCCTAAATGATATATTTGCATGCTCTTCAAGGTGAAGGCAGCCATGCAGAGATGTGTATGAAATGCAATATTCACCAACAATTGACAGCCGTCACATAATATGATTCAGCAAGAGATCAACATACACTTTCAACTGACAATAAAAAACAAACTGTTGTGTGTGATTCAATCTGTTTCCGTCATACATTTTTATTTACGTCAAGCCGTTTGAACATTTAAAAAAATTGAGAGAAAGGAAAAAAAGACATATTCCCAAAGGTTTTACACAAAATGCAGATTAAAGTGGAGTGCATACAGGACAGGAAGTTGTTTACTTAGCATTAGGGCCTTTACTATGTTGTTTGGGTACAAGAGAGGTCTGCTCTGATTGGTGTGGAGCACAGACCTGTTCAAAGAAGAGGAAAAAAGTTGGTGTACAAAAACATTAGAGCTAAAGCTCAGCCTTTTAACGATCAGATGACTCATCCTAAGTAGCTTCATTTTCTTTTTATGTATTGCAAGTATAATCAGTTAGCATTTATTTTTAATTGTCACTGGAAGCTGATTGAATTTAAAGGGTCAACAAAATGTCTACAAGACATGGAAAACTGGTGCCAATCTACCAGATTTTCTTTCGTTAACAGGACGATGTCAGAGGTAGGGCTTGTGGGGCTGAAATCTTTGACTCTGTTCAGCTCAGATGCAGCCTCTATGTGAAGTGGTATACATCCAAGAAGTCAATATTACGGATGTTATTCTGCCTCAACACAATCAAAACCTTTGTGAACACATATTTGTATAATTCTCACGGGCTAATCTTGGCGAATATGTTTTCATAGTCATTTTTACAGCAGAATATGGTCACTTCAGTTCTACCTGTTTTGTTATTGTGGGCGTGCGCTCTACTGAAACATAGGGTGGATGTTACTGACCTTGTGGTTGCACACAGACAGGTTCCTTACAGTGTCATCATCGCTATTCTAGGGTCTGCAGTTTTCAGATCAAGCACAAGATGCCACGGTGAATGAAAAAGTTCTAGTTTACAAAGACTAAATGTAACTTCTTTATAACTTTCAGCCTACTCTAATATTCCAAGTACTGTAGAGGAAGCTCTGCATCTTAGGAGGAAAATGACACAAAAAAAAACAAACAAACAAGGTGTTAAAATGAGCAGGCTGTTTCAGAGTCTGTATCAGTGCTGGACAATCCATAGCAAAAACCTCTTGACAGATATCGCACAGGGTTCTTGTCCCTTTTAGAAAAAGGGATACAGATTACGTATAGTAAAGCCCCGGCGTTGTCGTCTTACTCCTCTCCCCTTCTTCCGCTTGGTTGCTCAGACAACAGAAACAGTTATGGCTTCTTTGTTCTGCAGCTCAGAACTCCCGTTTCCCCCTGAACACCGTCGGCACTGCAAATCTGCAACGTCTTTGAGGAGAGCTGTCCTGGTTTGCGGCCTGTGTTCGTAGCAGTGTGTGTGTCTGTGTGTGTCTGTGTGTGTTTGTGACGAGTTCCAAGGCAGTGTACTGTGAGAGGGGTGTGTGTGTTTTTGTTTTTTGTGTGTCAAGGAGTCCTGTCTACTTCTCGTCCTCGTCGCCTTCGCTCATGCTGCTTATAGAGGCACAGGCCCCTTTGGGGGAGGTGGGAGGCGACGGCCGGGCGTTGTACCAGCGGGCGGGGGGAGACGGGGGGGAGGGAGAGCGCAGGGGGGAGAGTTCCCGGGGAGGACTGTTGCAGGGTGACTCTCTGGGGGACAGAGCGTAAGACAACATCCGACCGCTGCGTTCCTGAAACACTTGTTTCTGCAAAAGACAGGTGGAAAACAAGGAGGATGGACACTTAGACTGATGTTCAACGTACCACTAAACCTGTGAGAGGATGGAAGATGAGTTAGAGCCGAGGACGTGTTTCTCCTTACCCATGTCCCATCAGGTCCGAAGAGTTCGAGAAAGTTTCCGATGAATTCTCTGGATTTCTCTTCCCATTTCTGAATCAGGTCGTGACTCTTCTCCTCCACACGGTAAACAAAATGTTTGCTCTTTTCCTCCACTGTGCGTACTTTTTCTTTCATGCGGTCCACCTGGTTCTGGAGCCGGTACTTCTTCTCCTGAGGGGATCAGAAGTCAAGGGACACATGTGACACAGAGGGTGGATCAAAGTTTTGGAGCAAGACTAACTCCGAAATTCCTCCTTGCTGCAGTGAATGTCTCAAACGGCAACAGGAAACAGGTCTTGTTGTTAATGGAAGTTAGTACAATCTCTACTTTACTGTATATTTTCCTGACTGAACTAAGAGCAATATCTCACACTGCGTGAGTCCATTTGTTGTAAAATATATGGATACCGGACCAAATTTCATGCCTAAGCAGCTGAAAAAGGATTCGAAACTGTCTGTTGTGACTGCTTCATAAACAGGATGTACTATATTTGCATTCAGTGCCAGTCATCGGGACCATTTAATGTTTAGAGAGACACTAAATATGGATTGGTTCTTACATTGATGTAGCTGACGTTGAGCTCCTTGGCTGTGTAGCCACGCTGAAGGTTGCGTCGGGCATAGACGTCATAGTCTCTGACAATTCTGGTAATTATGTCGGAGGTTGAGATTCCCTCTGTACGCTGCGTGGGCACAAACATTCCTAAGAGACGCAGATTAATAAAAAATAAAAAAAACAAGTTCATCACTTCTATTGGCTCTAATCACATCTATTGAATTCGAAACGTGCAGAGGTGCTTCGCCCCAGCAGAAAAATGGCTCACTCACCTGCCTCCTTGATGTGTTTATAAACATCCTCACTTCCTGCTGAGGAGTATGGGATGTCGTCATGAGCCACGAAATCGATCTGAGAGACATACAAAGGACACGTACTGTGTGGCAGAAAACATGGCGGTTTCACACAAGCCGTGGCTCGTTGGGCCCTTTAGGGCCAGCAGAACGGGCATGATAAAAAAGCTTTATCATGAGCTTTATCTGAAGCGCATGGTCACACGCCCTGGGGCCACATTCACGGCGAGCGTTATCTTATCTGTGGGAATTCTCCTAATCTCTGATAAGTTTCCCTCTTAAGCACAACTCAGTGCTGGCTGAACTTGCTTCTATGGATGACAGCACATTAGGGGACTGTCACAGCTCTGTGTCAGTGATGGGAAGCAGATCTACCAGCACGAGATGACCAATTCCATTCAAATCAGTTAGTCAACACACTTCAATGGAATTAATGGGAAACATGCGACATTGTTCTGACCCGCACTTTTCTAAACCAACCCCCGTTTGCTTCACACACCACTCAACGCCCACATATTGTAATTAACTTGCACACCTTGTGTTTCTCTAGAAAGTCAGGCGTGAGAGTCCAGGGCGCGTCTCTCAAAACCTCGTCCACGTAGCGGCAGTGTCTCAGCGCCTCGTAACGCTCATGCTCCGTCATGACCGTGAAGCCCTTATACTTATGGGTCAGCTCATCGCTGCACACTGTGCCCCCCCCCCAAAAAAAGAAATAGCCGCTCAGTGAAAGCATTCATTGCGCACAAATGAATCCACCTGTTGCCAGCGTGCGTGGTCCAGCTCACCTCCTACTATGAGGTAGGTATTTGGGAATAAGTTTTTGGCCTGCATGAGAGCGCGAGCATGTCCAGAGTGGAACAGGTCAAAGATGCCATCTGCGTAGACTCTGACTGGCCGGTCCACTGAAAACATACACACACACAACAGTCACAGATAGGCACGCCTCGGTGTAGCAGTGTGTTATTATTGGCGACTCAAGCTGTGTGCATAACACACACAAAAAAGGAGCAGGTGGTCGGGTGCCGGTAAGCCAAGACAGTGCAAATACAGAGACAAAATACTCCAGAGTTTCTAAGAGTCTGACAACTCAGAAGACGGATTGTATTAAGTCAGTCGTCCCACATAAAAGGTCAATGGACAAATGATCACTATTGATGCTGATATGCAAAGAAATAGTTTTAAATTCGATTTATAGCAATTGAATTGAACCATTTACATTAAATAAAGGGAATCAGACCCATAATTCCCTTGTTGAGAGGCTAAGACAGTGTACTACAAAGCAGGGGGATTACCATAGCAATCAACACACCTCCCAAATGAGCTAGCTTTGTCATGTTGAAAATCCAGCGCAGAACCTGAAGTAACCTCACTTAACTACTAATCCTGCTTTGCAGGACAGGCGCCAGGTGCTTACAGTAAAGTAGCTAGACAGGAGCCATCCCTCTCTGAAAGGAAAATGACAGCATGCCAGGAGTTTATCAAAAGTCATCTGAGCGAATCTGAGACTGTAAGAGGGGGAATTCTATGATGTAAACAGAAGGAATAGCATTAGGGAAAAGCTGTTCCAGACTGGTCAGGATCACAGGATGGAGCAAAGGTTTACATGTTTACACTGCAAGATACCGATCAAACGCAGAAACTGGAGCTAAATGAATCAGAAAATATGCTTTGCAGTAACTTTCTGCATTCAGCCTGATAGAGTTTAACTGTTCCAGTAAAATGATTAGAGAGACATCCAAAAGAAATGTGTCTAAAGATTGTGTGATCACTAAGAGGACCTTGAAAAATTAAATCTACTGTGACGTGAATCTGAAAGAAAAGAAAAATGCTGAAAAGGTAGAAATGATTGCTCTGTCTTTGAATAGAAGAATAGAAGATAGAAAAACATGTCAAACGTTCACAATGAGACGTTTAACAATTTCAAGAAAAACGCAAGCTCATCTTTAATTTGATGACAGCAACAAGTCTCAAGACGTTGTTGTTTATGGCAGCCTTTCAACCTAAACTTGAGATGAGCCAACAGTTTTTCATTTCAGTTTTTCACATCCATTCTGAGAACGATTGTGTTGTGTCAGATCTATAAGTGGCTGCATTCCACTTTTATCTACAGTTGTAGTAACGAACTGATAATGAAGCAGAATAAAAACAACAGAAAACAAAACAGTAAACTGGTTGCACCGGACTTTCAGGTCGCACCTAGTCGAAGGAGCAGCAGCGGCACCGGTGGAAGAGGAAGAACTCTAACTAAAGCCAGCGTTAGTGTTTTTTCAGGAGCAGCTCCACCGGTATTCGCTGCCGTATCGCCCTGCTTTAGAAACCAGCAGCGGCAGTAAAGGTGGTCCACGTGGAAAGATAATGGCATGCACATGGCAGTAATAAGAGATGAAAATCAACACTAGGAGAGGGATGCTTGGAGGGAGAAGCAGGAGAGAGGAAGCTGGAGTACCTGGGGTGCCTCTGCGAGCCTGCGCGATGGTCAGCTTCTCATGAGGTGCACGACAGTCACAGGTGCTCTCTCGGGCAAAGATGGCAGGCTCTGTGAGGGTCTGAGACAGAGAGAAGCCACCTTAGAAATGAGAACATGCCAAGGGGTCGCTCCTCTCAGTTACAGTAACCTCCATTAGGTTATTGACCACAGCTGGGGCTCGGTCTGAGCCTAAGAGCATTCAGGGCTATCGATCGCTGAAACCAGGCCCACACCCACGTCTCCACACCCCCCCTTCTCTGCCGTACGTGGACATGAACGGGGCAGACATTTAGGGGCAAATCGTCACTGGCTAAAAGGGGATATCTGGCGTGGGGAGCCGGACTGGGTAAGCACATCCCGGCCAGGAGCCGGGAGGGAGGAGAGAGATAAGGGATGGGTTTGCCGGTCCATGTCGAAACTACGCCAAGGTCAAAGTGCTGCAGCGTGAGCCGGCCCCCCGAAAAAACTGTCAGCGTGTGCCATCTGTTGACGGCAGGAGATATCAGCCGACTCCCAGTCACAGCCCAGAAAGAAAAAACCTGAGCAGAGCAGAAAGTGGGAGAGGAGGAGGAAGGCATGGAAACAGGTTTTTGGTCTCCATGGACTGAAACCTGACGTCAGCGCCTGCTCAACCAGCAGCAATCAAACCACTTTGGCATGAAACCATATTCCAGACCAGAAAAAAAGGGGTTTTCACAGTCTTAACCGTGCTAATTTAGAATTATAAAAGGGGGGGCGGGCAACATAAATCTTTTTATTGAATTTAACACCCCTGATATCCTTACTGACCTTTGCTTTGGACGACATTTTGACTAGTTACAGCAAGCTAACCCTCAGGAAACTTTTTTTCTGGCCCACTGCCATGGAGCGTCTCAGCAAACCAGCATGAGAACCGCAAGGAAATATCCCCACATGGGTGCATTACTCACAAAATACCAGAATACCAAGTTAAACAATACCCCTGAAGAGCAGATACCAAAATTGGATCGATGCATGGTTGGTAATTAGGATACTTTTAGCTTCATTTCAGAACATGGTCTCACAGATATGCTTGTTTTAAAGCTTGAAAGTGTTGTCACACGAGTGGTCACTTATTCTTTTCTACAGGCAATGCAAACAGAGGTTGGGTTCTAATATTTCGCCAAGTAAAGTAAATGAGGTGACGTGGGAACAAAAAGTGAATGAATGAAAACAAGAGAATCAAAAAACTATTCCTGGACTGCAGTCTTTTAAAGCTGGTAAAGCTTGCCTACATATCAACTCAGACTCTATCTCATCCATATCTGTGATCAACATTCTTTTGATTTTGTGGTTTGATCAGAGATTTTTTTACATATTAACAACAACCTGTTAGATGACAAAGGGTCCTAACTGCAGGGTTACATTATTCACTGGTAAGAAATCCATTCATTATACTTGTAAAATCATATGTAATACAATTTAAGGCAAACTAAAACATCTTTTAAGACAATTGAAGGATATATATGACCTCCAGTGTTTTAATGAAATAGCTAAATGTATGAAAATGTAAAAGATGGCTGATCTTATGATAATTTTTGTTGGGAGTCAATTCATAAACTTAAAAACTCCGGAAATGTCATTGACTGTTCTGATAATGTATCTATAAAACTACACACACATCTAATCTGGGCTCCATTTTTATTGCTATACAGGCAATGCAGCAGCCAGACCGAGCACAGGTTTGTGAGACCTTCAGTCATAAAGAAGCTCCAAGGCTGCACATGGCACGTACTGCATGAGGTTACAACGTGCCCTTTGGAGAGATTATCTCTTAGATTAAATTCCTTTTCATTACACGGATGTCTGTAAACATTCTGACAAGTCTTCAGCCATTCAGAGGCCTGCAAACAGCCGTATCCGATACCTGGGGTGTATTAGCAGAGGAGTCACAATCAAACATTTATCAAAGCAGGATAAGCAATTACAGAGGAGGCTAAAGTTTGTTTCAATGCTATTCTAGATGTAAGGGCCTTTATATAGTGATCAGATACCACTAGTAGATCCCTGTTCAGTTTTTAAAGCCGCTTGTCAAGACTTAGGAAGAATCCGCCAAGCATGACAGGGCTGTAGTCATTTAGCACAGAGCTGGGGGAAAAGCTTTAACTTTGTGACGGGCGCCCGAAGGCCTACCGGGACGGGCTCTGTAAAGCCGGCCCTGGCACAAGCAAAGAACATCTGGCGTGGGAAGGATTAGGGATGGAGAGAAATGGGGCACGCGATAACAAAGACAAGCACAGATGAGATGGTCCCTGGAGAATGCGTGCAGGGTGGAGGGGACGGGAGGCTGAACGAAGGGCATGAAGAAAGACGAATTCCAGAACTGACAGTGAGGATAAGAGAGATAAGAAAGAATACTGAGACACAGGAGGCTCTGTCTCACTGCCATAGAGCCCCCTCAGCAGGATGTGAGCTAAGCTATCCCCCTTATAGCATCCCATCCCAAACGCATCATCCACTCAGCCCTCTGAGCATCTCCCACGGCCACATGCTGGGGAGGATCTGTTTCATAACAAGGGACAAAGCAGGGTTCTTTGTCTCCCCCCTTTTCCCCCCCGATTCATACCCCCCTCGACACACACTGCAAAGGCAACAACACTCTCCGACACAGTCGCCCTACCGTCCGGGGATGGGGGCAGGTGTGTTCGAGCTCCTCCATTATTCCCAAGGACTCATGGGATGCAGCCGAGGTCGCTCTGTGTGACTCAGCATCAGTGAGACGATGCTCCTTTCCTCATTACTCCGTCTCCTCTCTCTTTTTTTTTTTTTCTCTTTTTTTTCCCCCCGCCCACTCCCT